CGCCTGTCCCTATTAAAATGTTAATGAACAAAAATTTATTTCGATACTAGTAGGTACAACTGTCAAAATGAGAATAAAGAAGTCAATAACCAAGTAATCATTAGAACGTCATAACATTCACAATCAGACATTTCTGGCAAAATTTTACCTTCTTTCACAATCTTTCGATAAAACTGTCGACAACAACTACATAGTGGTTTAAAATTGTATGAAAACTAGCAACTCTCAAATGTCATTTTGCTACGTCTTCAAAAGAGATTGAGAGAGAGAACTGTTATTTAATCCGCAAAATACAGAAAACCCTTTAAAGGTTTCTATAACGATAAAGTCCTTTATAGGGAGGCACCTTGGCTCTACTCCAACAAGAAGCAGAAGAGGGTATAACTCGGCTCGAACGTCGTCTGTACTTCCAAACGGCACACGGTCACTTCAAAGCAGGCTGTCCAGCTCTAGCTCTAGAAGTACTCTCCAAACTACCCGCAAGAGTACGAGACGAGAAACTGAAGCAGCCGGTTTCCGCGCCGTCGATAGAGGAAGCCCACATACATTCAGGACAACTGGTGGAAGACACAGTCAAAAGTACGACAAATTCTAGTCCGTTTGTACGTCACTGTGCTTTTATGTTTTGTTGGTTTGTCGTTTTTAATTAACATTTTTATTTTGTTATTCATTTTAATTCAGGAGATTTCATATTCACGTTCTCATGGTTAACTTCTGTTTTTCAGTTCGCGATTCTACCACGATTAAAGCATCCCTTACTTTTGTCTATTGACAAGTAGCTGAAGCATAGTAAAATAAGAGAACTATGATAACTCCGTACAAAGTAACAGCGCGGTGTATATCAGTGGGTCCTAAGTATAAGGGCCAAACTGACAATTTGATCATTTTCATTTTTTTATGGGAAATGCATCATTTGATTATAATCTATAAGGTAGCGCTAAAACAAAATCAAACATATTCAAGGAAATCTCGGAAGTCCAAGGAAATCTTGGAAATATACCAGATTGAAAGTTTGGAAGCCTTTCCTGTAATTTTGCGCTTTGGCCCTTATACACAGGACCCATCGACATGTGTGCGCTCCGCGCGCTGTCTATGGCCGCACGCATTCGCATAATAAAGAAAGGCATTTTGCAACGCAAGATTTTGCGAATATGTGCGTCCGTACACGGCGCGCGGTGGGCAAGCACTTACACAAGCCGCTGCTACTTTTGTAAGGAGTTATCATAGTCGTCTTATTATACTATGTCTGAAGCGTGCTGATGACCATATCGTGACCCTAAAGGCCATGGACTGAATATTCCCTTGAACATGTTCACAAATATAGGGTTAGACTAACAACCTCGCAGGACTATATTACTAACATCATAAACAACAACTTTTGTTCCTAATGACTTTTGATAATTTATCACATTTTACTTTCATACAAAAATAAATATATTTGAATAGATCGCTCTAAACGGAAATAACTCTGCGCAGCATGGGAGTGAGAGTCGTCGCGGTGGACGCTTGCACGTTTGAAATTACCTTACTACCAAATACCAATACAAATATAAAAACTGTAAGGTAGTACAACAAAAACTTAAAACTATCATCAAGATCATCCACAGCCCGATTTCACCCATTGCTGGTAGAGGCCTCCCGAAGTTTGTGCCATCTACCACGTCCTTTGCTAGCCGCATCCAAAAGTATATTTTTAGTAAATTTATTATGTTTCGTGAAAAGTCACGGAACAAAAGTTGTTGTTTGCAATGTTAGTAATATAGTCCTGGGAGGTTGTTAGTATTTTGAAAATAACCCTGTATATTCTTACTTCGTATATACGAGTATATACAGTCGATACCCTAAGATGTCTGACCCTCTTACCGACTGTTTGGTTTGGAGTAGGTCCGTGTGAAGAAAAGTGTTAAACAAATTTAACCTTTAACCAGTGAGCCGTAAAATACATTTTGCTATGAATTCCTTATTGCGTCATTAGTGAATCACGTTTTAAGAAACTTTTTAAGCCAATTTGATCTTTAGTTACACCACATAAATACAAATTTTAACAAAAAAGCTGGAGTTCCTTTACACTTTTCTATTGAATGCGTAAGAAAGCTCTCAGAATCAAAAGGTCGGCAAGGGGTCAGATACTAAGGTATCTTAAGGTAAGGCCTTAAGAGGCACCGACTGCACAAGCTTACGTATTTTAAATTAGGTTCCATGTATTCTTTATTTTTTTTTAGTTCCTACATCTCTCATAATCTAAATTCTATATCATATCATAACCAATTTTTTTTTTGCTCAACGCACATCCTTCAATGTAGTTTTTTTAACACAATCAGCTATTAAGTTTTTGTTTGTAACAGAGGCGGAATCAAACTCGATGGATTGGGGCGCAACAGCTGCGGACGTAGACTGGGGAGCGCCTGTATCCTCGACCAAGAACGACGAGTTGGTTCTTAACTGGGATGACGGTGATGAAGATAAGGGGTAAGGCTAAATGTCTGTTGTTCTTCATATTAAAACAAATTGTATATTTTCTGAGTGTGTTACAACTAAATCGTACAGAATATACAGAACTTTTACAAGTGTATCTGTAAAAAATGTCATATTAATTACAGTATTTTTTTAAATAACCACTTCGAATACCTTATCTCGAACTAGGGAATTCCCTGTGATATGAGTACAAGAGTCTATATTGGTTATATATATAACCAATTTAGAAAAGTACATTTATCCAATATGGGTCCGACCGGGAATCAAACCCAGGGAATCAACCTTCACAGTGCTAACCGCTGGGCCATTGTGATCATCAATCATGATAATTGGAAATTACCGATTCATATTTGCTGTACGCCCGTTTGCCCGCTTCTGAAATTACGATGGATAAAATTACAACTTGTAAGTTTTTTTTTATTCCGTTTAGATCTGAAGCATCAGGCACATCAACACCTCCGCTAGAAATGAAGATGGACAAAAAAGAAGTGGAACCAGAACCAGAAGTGAATGACATACCCGAGAAGGAAGACGAACCTCCGTCTGTAGACATTATGGCTCAACAGTTGAAATTTGTGGCCTGTTTGAAGATATTGATGGAGGAGCTTAGCACGCTCGCTACTGGGTTCGAGGTGGATGGTATGCTACTCAAAACTGTGTTCTGCACTTGTTAACTCATCAAATATCGCCCTAGTTATTGCCCACCACCTTCACTATCGTAACTGAGATTTTTGTTTGAACCGAATAACATCTATTTTAAAAAAAATACGATAAGAAGGTAAGAATTACACAATATTTTGTTCTTCTTAGGCGGTCATCTCCGTTATCAACTATATATCTGGCTGGAACGTGAAGTTGAGGCATTACGTCGTCTATGCGGCTACGCCTCCACCAATGGTAGCACAGCTGGCGGGGAGCTAATATGCGCAGACGCAGAGCCACCGCCGCTTCCTGACAGACCGACGCTGCACCAGCTCTTGATTAGAGAAAAGGCGGACTTTGAAGCGAAAGTGCAACGAGCTGTACGGAGGAAAAAGTGGCTTAAAGGTATGTCCGAAATGATTTAAAAATTTGCAAATTATAAACGATTTATTGCCAGATAATGAAACTGACTGTATAAACTTTGTTTTCTATTTGACGTTTAATTAGACTGAAATGGTGCTAAAGAAATTCCACTATGTTGATAAGCGTATCGTTATTGAATGTATCATTTACAAGGCTAAAAAGAGGGTATAAAGAAAATGGAATAATATTTTTGAATAAAATATCCATGACATAGTTGTTCAGTTTCATGGATCTTTTTCTCTCACTGTACTTTCCATTCTAGCCAACGAAACACTACTTCGTACTCTACTGTCCTACTGTTCCCTCCACGGGGCGGGCGGCGGCGGCCTGGCCTCCGTCCGAATGGAACTTGTTCTCCTGCTCCAGGAGTTAGGTCAGGACAAGCAGCATCAGCAATTGTTATCACCGTTGCCATTCCCTACGACTCTGCCTTTGTTGGCAGCTGCCGTGGCCGCCAATAACACAGTTGTTGCCGACCCCGTTAGGCATTTACAGGTGAGTGGATCACTGTTCCTGACATGATTTCTTTTCTAGCTAGAAACGAGTTTATGGAAAGTGTAAGAATTATGCCGACAAAACCGAACATTTTTAATATCATAATTCTGTTCAATCAAACTTTTTCTTTTTGTTTATTCAGGGGCTTTAATCGTTATTGAACATGTCAGCTCCATTAGAAAAACAGTACATTATAAAACACGTATTGTATAATATGTCATATAAGAGTTAGTGAGATATCTAAGTTTAAGTAGTCAAATTGAGAAGGTTAAGGTTATTCTGATACTTTCAATATTTTGAAAGTCTCAGTAGCCAGAATGTGTCTTATATTTATTCTGTCGAGTCCTGCAATGCTACAACGCCACCAGCAGCGCTAGCACGACAGGCCGCGACTTGCGCGAGAGCAATATCTCGCGCTCCTGTACGGGGAACCTATCAAGACTAGAAGTATAGTTTCGCCATCCACGTTAAGTTTAGCTATGAAGATTTTATTATATTTTGGATGAAATATAATAACACGGTGTTCTCGGTTCCCGTATTTTAGTACGAGATACATTTTTCGCCATTATACCGTATTATATTATACTGCAGCGTAAGAACTTTCAATGATATTGACTAAGAGGAATTGTCATCTTTCACTACCCATATTACTATATTTTATTATATAGTTCAAGCGTGCATGCTCTGAAGGGTTGTCTTATGATTTTTTTTCTGTAATCTATTAGTTAACAGTTTTTCTTTTTTTTGTATTTTTATTTTGCATTTTCTATTTAAATTAAAAATATTGATGTTATCTTGTGTATTGTTGTATACGCCAGTAAGGCCATAACGTATTGTATGAAAATGTAAGCGCGAAACAATAAAATTTCAAATAAATCGTGTGCTTTTAAAAACCTAATAATGGCAACCCTAATTATTCGTCGTTATCTAATTTATTTTTGTATTGTTTCCAGTCCGTAGCCCACGACATGCTAGGTACACTAGGCGAGTTGGGCATACCCGGCGGTTCGGCGACGCGAATCCTGCACACGTTGAGAGAACTAGCCGTCGCCCTATCCGCCTGCATCTATCAGAGCTTGTGCGACTCTGATACCTTCAGTATGAAGCATACGCATCATCATGATGGGTAAGAAAACGCCATAATGTTAAGAAAGTCATGAATAAAAAGAACAGAAACGTGATAACCAAATGCCGAGAACTCTTGCCTTTTATGTTGCTGATTCAATTCTCATCGAAAGGTGACATCACTGAGTCGTATGGAATCATGTATGTAGTGAACTAATTGTAGGACACTTTACGCAGTATACCAGTCTAAAACACTTCAAATTATTCAATTTAATTGTAACGGAAACATTGTAATGAAATCAGCATATGGAAGTTTACATTACTCTTAAAACGTGAAGGGATGATGTGAAGACGCATTTCAGTTTCATCGCGCTCACGCCGCGCGGCTGCCACGCAGTGACCGCGTGCATCTAACTGTCATTGCAAAATACGCTCTATTTATTTAGCCTTTACGTTGTAACTTAAATGAGCATCCCGGGCGCGCGCGGCTATCTTGTCTTTGGTCGCGCGGTTGTATTATTTCGAGGAATTCAAATGTTGCCAAGTAAACAGAATTCAGATTCGTCATTAATGTACATGAAAGCGCGGTAACTGGGTGGCCGCCGTGCGACAGCCGCGCGTAAACTTTCGTGTCGTGTAACTGGGCGCTAAAAGTATCACCTTCGTAGGCGTGCCCAATAGTGCAACACCCACGAGTTAATGATGATGAAGTAACAAAACCTAGGATTTTTGGGTGTTGACTTATTTCACAATGAGATCTTGATAATTGGCCTATTAGTGAATAATAATAATTTCAAATAACAACATCATAATAATAGGTCATAAATTCATCAATAGGCAGAGTTGTCAATCTATACGGAAACCGCTCCGTGCTCCGTGGGTAGAGCTTGTCTTGTTAGCTAAGTGAATTGTCTTACTTTTGCATATTTTTGTAGTATAATCGCCGAGACTCCTGGTTCAACGCATATGCTCGCGCGGCAGAGGCGTCATTCCATTGAAGAGCTCACCGTTACAACTCCGCCCAACAAATGGCCAGGTAAAAATAATTTCTTTATTAGAAAAATATATAAATAGAGAAGATACGCCAGAGAGAAAAGGAAAGACAAAACTTCGTGATTTGTAAACTTAAATGTGGATCACGATGGGATCTTTAGGGCTGACTAAAGCGTCACGCGTGTGGCTGAACTGAAAGCTAATGCTATACTAATATGTATTAGAAAAAAATGCAATATATTAGCAAATTGAAAAAAAGAATATAGTACATTATTTTATTAATAATTTTGATTAGATTAACCACTATACTTTTAACAAACAAAACTCACAAGATCAAAGACATGATGTTCTAACAGATAAAAAAGACGGTATAAAACTAGGGGTTCGGACCTCGACTCGTGTGTTTAATACATGTGAGAAAAAATTCATTACTCGTAATTCTTGCTGCATATTTTCTACATTTTTACCATAAGTCACCTGTAGGTTTGAATGTTGATTATCACTGTATGTAGATGGTTGACACAGATTTCCCCTAAACTTCACGGAACACTTCACATTAGTGCAGAATATTAACGCTATTTTTTTTTGCAGGAGTGTCAGCCCTTCGCGGCCTAGCATTGAGAGCGGCAGAAGAAGAAGATGCACCTCGTCTACCAGTGTTACTCGCAGAAGCATTCTGCGCAGTATACCTAGCTTTACTCGGCTGGTCACTGGCCGCTAGAGATGCGCACATACTGTACAGATTGGCTGCGGTTAACGTCGACGTCAAGTACCATGCGAAATTGTTTGGTGGCGGTGTTAAAAGGCTGCTTACTACTGCGCCTGCGCAGCCACAGGTCAGTAAATTCGTACTCCAAGCCCTATCACCCACTTGTTGTGTGTTGGGACCACGACTCATTTTCAATCATATATTCACTGCACTATTACTTGAATAGGAACAGTTTTGGAACAAGTACAATTTGTTACTTGATACACTGTAAAATAAATTCTGTTTAATGCGTAACATATAATAACAAGGTAGAAACTACAAGTAGGGATTCCATGGGCAGTGTTTATTATGTGACTGGCAACATATATATCAAATCTACAATCACTAATGCCAGACTTCATTCATTCGACTTTTCATTAATTCATTCATTCTTTCTTTCATCTATCGGTAATGGAAACTGTACTCAAAACCCATTCTTTATGTTTATATTTTTTGTTATATATATTTTTTCCACCGTTACACATTGCACGTCAGCGCGATTTTGAAGTTAGAAAGCAGTAATACAAAGAAATATTTCACTTTCCACCATCAATCATACAAGTATGTAGGTCAGTTGGTAAGAGCGGCAGCCACGGTGAAGCAACAGACTCAAGTTCAAGCTCAGTCATATCAAAGGATTTTTTTTCTGTGTGTTCGATTTATGTATCAATAATAATTATTTTTTGTGACATTACTCGACTAGTTTGTTATAATTATTAATACAAAGATCGAACAATGAAAAAAACAATCCTTCAATCCGGCTGGATTCGTACCAAACAGACGCTATGCCAACTAAGCCACGGAACGAACCAGCGGACCTTACGGATTTTTCTATGTGCTTTTTGCAGATCTTGTTTTGGTTTTTTAACGCCATCTGCGAGAAATATATTTCTTCACTCAGCCAGCAAATCTATTTCTTACAGCTACCAGTAGCTGACTAGAGATGTCGGTTTAATAATTGTAATTAAGTTTATTAACTGTTAGAATGTTTCACCGTCATGATATTCAATTTTCCAGCCAAAACTAGTAGAGCGTCCAGAAGGCACATCCGTCTGGTCGTCACTACGTGAGAAGCGAGCGTTACTCAACATGCGTCTCCTTGGCTTGGGACCATCGCAGCCTCACAAAAACATACAGGAAGGCCGGCCTACTTATAGGGAGCAGTTTGTACCGCCTATTTGCAGTATATTAACATTCCTGCTTACTAAGGTGATTTCTTTTTACGTATTTTAACATTGCCTAATTTTATTACTGACCATAGGAATATCAACCATCATCATCAAGTTATACAGACTGACAACAATATAAGTGCTCAGAGGAACTTTTCGAACCGATATCACTGTGACATTCCCACCATCACATCTGTCGCCAAAGGAGCCCATCGTCGATGCCTGGCATTCAAAGACCATACGGGCAACACATTCCTTCCTTCCTCTAGTCTGCAAGGTGTGGAATGGTCTCCCTTCAGAATAATTTCCTTAGAGCTATGACAATAGTGGCAGTAGAGCTCCTTGTGAAAGAGCTCGTCGAGGGAAGTACTGCCTACTAAAACTAGTAAAACCATACCTATTTCTGCCGCCAAGCAGTAATGTCAGCATTACTATGTCTCGGCTGTGAAATATAAGGGTGCTTGTCAAAAGCACCCTTATTGTGTATGTAATCGTATACAGGTTTATATTTAATATACAAACAACCTGACAGGACTATATTACTAACACCATAAACAACAACTTTTGTTCCATAACATTCAATAATTCATCAGTTTTGATATTCATGCGAAAATAAATATATCGCTCTGAACGGTAATAACTCTGTGCAGGACGGGGGTGGGAGTCATCCCGGAGGCCGTTTGCACGTTTGAAAAGTGTTAGATTGTACAACAAAAACTTAAAAGTTTATTTTTGGTAAACTTTTATGTTTTGCAAAAAGTCATGGAACAAAAGTTGTTGGTTATAATGTTAGTAATATAGTCCTGCGAGATTACTATTTTAAAAATAACTCCGTATTTTTTTTTTTGTTTTGGGCGATTGAGTTTGCGACTGCCTTTAAAAAACAACAGATAAGTGCAAAAATTAATAATAATAATCGTTGATGCAGACAAGTAGCCAACTAACCTTGTTCTTCTTCCATCTCTAGCCAACACCAGACCAAGACCCCGAAAACTACGACTATGACTCAGCGGAGTCGGGTGGTGAGGACGCGGAGGACAGCGGCAGTGACCCCGACGACGACGACATTTTTGACACCACTAATATCAAGTGAGTGACAATCATTTTTAGTGTTCATATGAATTCACTATTGGTGAGCACCAAATTTTGTACGTAAATTACATGGGCCGTGAAGCCTTAAGTCGTCCTTTATTTTTTATACATAGAGTTTCACGGCAAGGATATGTCAATATAAATGGAAAAACTACGTAACATTGCCCTTAATACGGTTCAATTGATCTGATATTAGCGAGTGTAAGTTTTGATTTTTTCGAATTTTATTTTAATGAAAAGTTATTGGCTTTAAAATCAAGTTAAACCCGAGGCCCGTTGGCGTGACGGCATGGCAAGGGATCGTTCATAATACTGATTCTGACATGCAAACGCACAATGACGTCAATTATTCGTAGTAATGTCAAAGCGTGACAGTGCTCGCGTCCAGTCTATTTTCAGATCAGTCGTAACGTTGCAAGCTGGTTTATTACCAGTTTATATATTTGAAAATCCAAATGAAGAATATTTTGACTGAATTACCTTCGAAAACCTACCGAAGCATCCCGAATGCTGCCGACTTGGTATTCGCAGCTTTGTTTTCTAGCTACGACCGTTATTGAAATTTCATCTGTAATGCTATTTTAAGATAATATGTATTTCATATCTAAAAATTCCTTTTCGCGTCGTCCCATCATTGTTAGTGCACGCCTTATGTAGCAAAAAATATGGCCAAATAGTTTCAAGCCATTGGCCATACATTTAACTAAAACAATACAAATGATTATAGATTATTATATATCAAACAATCGACTATAGATAAGTACAGTGTTGTAATGTTTTCTTCCAGGAAAGATAAGCGCAAGTTCACAAACACGGAACACTCGGATCCTGACTCGTACTCGTGGTACGTGATGCGCGTGGCGGTGCTGCGGTTGGCGCAGCAGAAACTGCAACAGTTTTTGCAGATGTCCGGCATTGAGATGTCAGGTAGAACTTGATACCTTTATTTATATTTAGCAAGAAGTATAAAGTATAAAGGCTTAATTGCTGATAGAATAATTTGCCTTGCGACCCTTGACAGACGACAGAGCGACACTCCAATTTGCTATAATCTATAAATAGGCTTCGCAGTGTAAATGTCGCTTAGCAGATGTCAGCTTAAGAACCAATTTCCATTAATCTACAATCTAGACTCGATTTTGGCGTACATGAGTTTAACTATAACTATTTATAGTAATAAAAAAATCGACCAATTGTTGATCAAACGTGAAGACAGTTGAAATTCGTTGAAAAATCAACATTTTTACATGTATTCAGAAATCAGTAGTTAGCATACTTGTTTATGACATCGCAACCGTAATAAAGCTAAACATTGTTTTGCTAAAATAGAACGGAGTATTGTTCTACCAATTACTTTATTTATTATCTTAAATTTTAGTTAGATATCGAAATGTATAATTTTTAGAATGTTCTGGTGAGTCGCTTTTATAATCGCGGTTCAAGCACGCTAAGCAAGTTTTTAAGGTCTGTGACAGCATTCCTCACACGAAAACTATTCTGTGAATGTTTTTTGTGGTAACCAAAACTTATTTATACCGACATCTCTGTCAGTCTTTGGTGCCTGTGAAGATACCCGAGAGTGACGAAACTTTCTCACATATTCTCACAGGTGACGCTGCTGTAAAAAGCCGTATTAACTCAATACCAAGGTCTGTAAAATTCGTAAGATCTGCTGACTTCATCTGTAGTTGGTAAGAGAGGTAGCGAAAAGGCAACAGCCGCTGGTTCGAGTCCAATCAGATAGAAGAAATTTTTCTTTGTGTTGTTCGATCTTTGTATCAATAATAATAATCAAAGCTTTTTAACAATTCCGTTTTTTATTAATAGAACTGGCCACTACAAGTCCGACAATCCACGCGGCGCTGCGTCGCTTAGACCAGTGGCAACAACAGTTGACAGAGACGTTAGAATCGCGCGCTCCACCAGTGGACTATATTCCTGGCTGCTTCCCTGATCAGCAAACTTCAGGACCACCGATTAATAAATACAAGTGAGTAGATATCATAGCAATGAGATGTTAAGAATAATACAGGAAAAGCAAAGTTTATTAAAGACAATAGAGAACCACAGGGAGGTCCTTGATGATGTTATTATAGAGATGTTGATATTTAATAAGAAGATATAACTACGAAATACAGCGCAAATGTGTTTCGTGTAAATATGTGAGTCGGCCAGTGGAATGTCAGCTAGAATTGCGAAAAAGATCTAGAAACAGGGAGACTGGTAGGCGGCCCGATGGAATCAGCCCGATAACATTGATATTCGGACTTTGTGTTCATGTCAAATCCATGTTCTACAAATAGTTTGTCAAAAAATATGCTGATTAATGACCTTAGGCCATTGACTTACAATTATATGGACGTCGGGTCCGCGCTAAAAAGTGTCCGCACTTGTAAGGCGCTAAAATCGTATACAGAGCGCCAAACTCCGCTTTAGTCTTCATTTGTTCGACTGACAGCGCGATACTGCGATGACATTACAATTTAAATTTCGAATAGGTTGACTTGGGACATTTTTTTCGTGGTTTTTGTATTAGACCCGTCGTCCATTTATTTGTAAGTCAATGCCTTAGGCTAAAGACCCTGTGAGTCTGGTGTCTTGATGATTTGTATTTCCGTTTCAGTGTTGCCTTCTATAATGCAAACTTTTGAGTAATGATTGAAACACAGGTTTGAATGACATCGTTTTTACAATATAGACAGATAATTAGTAAATGCAATGGTTTCAACAGCTTATCCGGAAAAATCGAATGTCAATGCCACCGCGACTAGCCTCCTGGAAATGGCATCGCATCTGACCGATATACATACATATCATGACGCCGCGGTTATTGTGAACGAATGACTCGGGTCAAGATACAGGAACAAATAGACGTCCATACCGTAATTGGCGATTGTGAGCTGAGATTGCGTTTTTACAAAATTTCTACGCTACATCTTTCTAATATATACATTTCGTATAGGTGTTTACTGGAGAAACACAACACGCCATTTAATACGTCGTTGTGGAGTTCAGCGCCCGCGAGAAGATTATGGAGCTATCTCGTTCGACAGGAGCCTGTTCAGGCAAGTTCTGCTCATATGTCTAACTTTTTAATTTAGTAATTTCCTAAATAATTAAATGATGTTACAAACGCTTTTTGAGACAAGGAAAATTACAAATAGCCGTATGGTGCATAATAAAATATCTCAATGGTAAAAATGTGAGAAGAAACGTTATACAAATATGAATTAAAGAGTCTATACAATCTCAAATGGCTTTGGTTGATTCCGCATGACAGTAAAAGTGTTGAATCAATCAATATGATAAAAATATATAGTAAAATTAAGGATATACATACACTGATTACTGTACTGTGTGAAAACACGATTCCTAAACATTTTCACGATAGATAAAAAACAGAAACTTACCTCGAACTTTTACAAGAAAACCGCTGCATTCAATAGGTACTTTACATGTACCAATTATTTTTTTATATCAACTGGACTAAATAGAACACGTATAGTATACGATATACATTTTTCAAATGGCTGTAATTTCGTTTGTAAAAAAAGAAATTCCGAAATAAAGCCAGTGTCCCTGCTGCTCGACCCAAGCAAAAGGAACCGTATTAGTACGGGAAAAATTTAAATTCGAGCTAAGGTACTATCGACTCTTAGGAAAACCACAATGGCGGGAAAGCAGTTCTTAGTAAATTAAATATGTTTTATAGGCAAAGTAAAACTGTTTTAAAACTTATTTGATCCTCAACATAATATATAGGCTCGTTGTACGGGTCAACGTACATTATTGTGCTACTGATAATGTGCAACGTCGCACCCTACATTGGACACGTACAAAATGTATAAATTATAATTTTGAATACAATAAAGGTAACTCCGTGGTATCGATCGAGTATTATTTCTACAACATCTTTGACATCTCTCTGCATCATCGCGCTGATATCACCTGACATATTCTGAAATATTACTGTACGAGACAGGCAGCTCGTACACTCGTGTTGCTTTGTGCGGCTAAATATATATGACTTTTTTATTGCAGGAGGTTTTCATCCGAGCAGTGTTCTCTCGGCGCCGCACGCAGTCCATGACGATCGAGCCGGGCGCGGTGGAAGCCCGTGGCAGCTGCATCCCGCACCAGCAGCGAAGAGACGACGAGCTGCATAACCCTGTCCGCATCATACATAAGGAGCAGGATTCCATTGCTGCTTTCTGTCTCAATCGGGTACTGTACTATTATTTTGTTTAATATCGCATTCCCGCTACGAAGTAACACCTAATTGGTCAGGAAAATATTTGAAAAAAATTAAAGCGGGATAGGTAAGCCCGAAGTCAACCAATCGTAAAACAGCCCAATTTTGTCACGTTTTTATTTTAACCAATGAAACGCTCAGTGTTTTATTCCCAATAAAATTTAATACATTCGTAATATAGGTCAAATAATGAACTATTTTCGTTTATTATTTGACTGTAATATCGCACCTTGGGAATGAAAGTGACCAAATTAAAAAAAATTAAGAAAATGAGTTTATACCGCAAAATGGACTTTAAAAATCATTGTTAATAAGGTTGTCAATTTGGAACTGACTCATTGATGCTCGAATGGCACAGACGAGAGAGAGAGAGAGAGAGTCTATGCCTTTTTAATATGTATGCCCACGGAATACAGTGGTTTCGTATTAAGTTGGACTCACAGAAGGACATAAAGTTGCCCCACATCGATTTATCAACCGTGTTTCAACGCCTGTCAATAACTATGCAAATCAGTGCTATGCGTATCGTATAATATACCCATATTCAGTGCACACAAAGATAGTTGTAGTAAGTAGATCGCGGAGAAATAGTAAGTGACCGTTCTTAATAGTAGCTCGTTTATTACTAACGAAGGTGCGATGGGGAAGCGCCACGCACATATGCGTCAATAGTACATTATCTAATACAAAAACTATTATTATTATTTTCTTTTATTTGCTCATGTCGTATTCTTTCACCATTAAAACTAGTCATTATTTTTTATGCCTATTCTAAGGTTGGCGGTGGTCTTCTAGCCGTAGCGACAGCTAGAGAAGTCCAAGAAATGGACGTATCATTATTACTACGCGGCGGCGCGTGGTGGGCCGAAGACGAGTGTGAAGTGGACTTGCTTGGACTCGCCTCAGACCCTGCCACGCTGCCCGACACAGGATTCTTGTTGATACAGCATCATGATAAGTGAGTGTTTGTGTTAAATATACATACGAGGATGTACACCGTCACTAAGACAACCATTAATGTAGTACAAATGGTGTTTTGCTGTGTAGCTTCTCTTAGAATGCATAAAAAGAAATACGCGTTAAAATGCTGTCAAATATATTTTAAATTTTAATAAACTTAAGAGCCTATCTGTGTAAGAGTTATAAGTATTGGCTTATCATCACATCAATAGTTTTCATAGACATTTTAAGACATTTTAAGACATTTTAATTTTCACATAGTATCTGAATCGAACTGTAAATACTCCGTGGTAATTATGCTGTACTGTTCCTTTGGCGTAAGTTCTGGAATATTCGTAGGACTAATTTCAGTTCTTCTAGTGACCGTTAGTGTTCGCTAACGACTATGAACTCTGTATAGTTATATCAGAAATGGCTTACCACATAAGACTGTCAGGTGACCTTATGTCTTTCCGGTTAAGGGTGGCCATTTAAACCACTTATGATTAATTCTGTCAAAAGTTTTACAGGCAGGCAGATAGTTATAATGATGCCCGTTTTGGACTCGCAAATTTTTTAATCGCGACCTGTTAAAAATTTATATCCATCTAAATATACGTTATAAAATAATATAAGTTTCGTTCTTAGAACTTTGAAATAAGTTGGAGAAAAAAAGATATGGATTTTTATAAATACGTAAGAACTTATGGAAAGCATTTGTTTTTAAACGTAAAGGGGTCTACAGACCGAACCCACCGACCCCGATGGTGTCGAAGGCCTTGTTTCTATAATCATGTCATAATATTAGACTAGATATAAGGCCGCCGACACCAAGCCCCTGAGCTGTGTCGCCGGTTTGGTGGATTCGGTCTGTCGCTTAATACGACTTAGGTTTTAACATTTTATTATAAGCCTCGTTTACACTTGCCATCATTTCTTCAATATAAAAAATAATGTATGAACGAAAATTACAATAATTGTGACACCGATACCTTAACTTGAACTTGACCCTCAAGTTCGAAGTTATCAGAAAATTCAAGAAATAATTGTCTCAACGTTGAAGAAATCATGTCAAGCGTAAATGAGATTTCAAATTAAATGTCAAAATCGAAGTTGTGCTACGTTGAAAAATTTATGCTAACAACTAACAACGTATTTAATTTTTTAAAGTATTTTTGAAAACTTGTATACCTTTTGCACAATTTTTATTTCATTCATTTGTGGAAGTGAATCTAAGTATTATTTTTAATGTGTACCCAACCATTCTTATCTTAGTAATAATATAATAATGTTTAACTCTGTACTACAAAAGTAACATATTAATGTTCATTATTAACATATCCTCAAAAAGAAAATGTTGCTTAAATCGGCTTTCTGTCGTTAAAAAAAAGTATAAATCTAGTATAATTATAATTAGAAACTGTATGGAAACAAAGTCAAAGTCAAAGATTATTCATTCCATAGGTAAAATAAATTTACACTTGAAAACGTCACATTTAAGCTACTGCTCGTTCACTAAGCTGACCTCTCTGAGAAGCTAGCAAGAAACTCTAGGGATTGCTCTTTTCAAATAAACTTAAATGCTATGGAATACACTTTGAATCAAATTTGTGTGGATTCTGGAGCCATATCGTCTTTCCATACATCTTTATCTAACACGTAGTCTTCAATTTTGTAATATGATTTTTCGATCAAAATATTTTTAATGTAGTTTTTAAACTTAGGAAATGATAAACGTAATATATGCTCCGGAATCTTATTGTAAAAACGTATACAGTTCCCCATAAAAGAGTTGTTTACCTTGGTTAAACAAAATCGTGGTAACATGAGTTTGGATTTAGCTCTAAGGTTAATATTATGGATATCTTCTTTCTTATTGAAATTATGTATATTTTTACGGGCATATAAAATATTTGAGTAAATGTACTGTGATGCCACAGTCATGATACCAGTCTCCTTAAACTTTTCTCTGAGAGAAACTCGAGAGCCTAGACGGTACACAGAACGAATGGCTCGTTTTTACAATACAAATATGGTTTGAATATCTGCCGCTTTACCCCACATGAGAATCCCGTAGGACATTATACTATGGAAGTAACTAAAGTAAACTAGTCTAGCAGTAATAACATCGGTAAGCTCACGTATTCTGCGGACTGCGTATGCAGCGGAGCTTAATCTGCTGGCCAGGGAAAATGTATGTGGAAACCATTGAAGTTTACTATCTAAGGTCACTCGCAAGAAGACTGCTTTATTAACACAAATAAAACCCCAAAAAAAAAATGTATCTGCCATTGACAGTTGCCAACTATTTTTTAGCTGGACTGTATGGAATTTGGGCATTGTTCTTTATTTATTTCATACTTTTCTTATAGACAAATTTGACATTAACAGTGTTAAGTTTGCAACATTACATTTTGGGCAAGACATCTGTGTCTGCACTACTTAATTAATTATTAATATTTCGGAAATCAGGGCTATCTATCAGGGCAACATGGGACAGATTACAAAACACATTGTCTTCCAGAGTAGACCTTGAGACGTTAACTTTTTAGCAGCAGTAGAGTATCTTGTGAAAGAGTTCGTTCAGGGAAGTACTGCCACCTTACCTATTTCTGCGACCAAGCAGTAGTGTTAGCATTATTGCGTTCCAGTTTAGAAGGGTAATGGTGCTGGTGAAATTATAGGCACATGGGACTCGTCAACTTATGTCTCAGGGTGACGGGCGCAGTGGCAGTGCCCCTCAGATCTTTGCGATTTAAAGCTCTGAGTGGCACTGCAACTGTTATAGACAGGCGTGTAGCTTACCATCAGGCGCGCGACTTGTTCGTCCTGTCACTGTTGTTGTTTAATTTTAAATTAACTTATCATTTTAGGTGTAATGGTTAACATAAACAATACTTAATTGACAAAACAATTGGAAATGTAATATGAATGCTGATAATATCAACGCTGTCTTTCGTCTTACATTATCAACTTGCTGATACTCACGAAAATCAATATCCTCGTCACTCCTGTCACTCAATTCTAAACAAAGTTTATTTTCAGACCAAACAGCGGATCAGTGCCCGGCACAGGCAACAGTTCACCTCTTAACCCCAACGCGCCTCAAATGCCAGTCGGCATGGCTAGTCAAACTGGACGAGGCGCTAGCGTTGTAAGTGTTGACACCCATTATAATGTCATAATTGTACTATATCAATACATTTACTTCAAAAGGTGGTGTTATTAGCACGCTTCAGTACCATTAAAATTAATAGTTTGAGTCCGAATTTAGTACGGGTCACATTACGCCTCTGCAACTTTCTGTTTATTGCTGTCCAGAAACAGCGTAGAGCATTCCTCTTATTAAAACTTTCTTCTAGCACTCTTTGGAAAATCACACATTTTTATGCGTTTCCATAAAAATCAGGTAGTTCAGGTTTGTCGCGGAAGCAGGAAAATGTATATATAATTATTTTTGAAGTCGCGGAACTGCTATTATTGTAGCTAGTTCGGACCAGAAAGATAAATTCCTTCGATCCGATGGACTCAAATCAGTGTCCGTTACCTGAACGTGGCTCGACCCAGAGCCAGTAAAAAAATCGATTCGATTGGACTTGAGTCCAGTCGAAACGAATGAATTTTTTTCTTTGAAAGGAGATTTTCTTTTTGTTTGTTCGATCTTTTTATCAATGATAATGACACTAGTGGAGTATTTTCACAAAAAATAGATGAAGATCATGGTGGTAATGACATCAGGATATTCGGTTGCAGAACGATGTTTTTTTTTAATTTATTTATCAGAATGTCGACTTAGTACTAGCGATATTAATACTGAAGCATGCTAATAAAATCCCATCCCAACATCATCGAGATTCCTTTCAGCAATAAGGTGACCATTTTATCGATATTTATTGATATTAACCATATACGTATGTATATTTCGTATGTATTGTGTATAATAACAAAACTAACATGTAATTATATTAAAAAGGGGTGACTAAATGACTCGGTATTTGTATTGTAAGTAATATGAACTTTATTTAAGTAATCTTGGTGCGGATTCTTAAGGCAAATTTTTAAATCAATTTGACTAAAAGTTAAAAACCCTAGGTAGATACTTTTGTGGAAAAGGTCCCTAAACCCTAGCTAGTCACTTTTGTCAAAATTGTCCCACACATATTGAACGATTTTCAGCAAAAATCTCCAATAGAACCATGAAATCAAATTTCAACTAAATATCCGCACCACACAAATGTCCGCCCCACTTAGCATTTTTGATCAATTTCCAATTCGAGTTAAAAACAAAACTGTCAAAATAATTTAGAAATCAATCAATCAACACCAATATTTAACTTTTTTATATACAGGCTTCTATTTAACAGCAGCTTTACTTATATAACAACTTTAACACTAATATATGCACGGGAGCAGCTCAATTAATGAATGCAATTCACAGGAGCGGCGCTCTAGCCAAAAACCTTCTGGTCACGAGGCGTATGTTGTCACAGTACGTTGACTAATATACTTTTTGTTGCGCTTTTACGGGTCAATGTAACTAACTTGATGGGTCCTTTGATGGCGTAACAATTATTATGTCATAATTGTTACAATACGCATCAAAAAATCCAAGATATTTATTCGCTATAAAAATGTTCAATCGTAGATTTCACCAGGACCTGTGATTTGAATATTTCACACATTTCTTACTTTTAAAGTTAAATTGATAAATAGAAACATACAATAACAATTAGAATTTATTTTAAAAATGGGAAGTAAAAATACAACATACATTAATAGCTATATTTTACATTGTTAAATGTTATATTGTCAAGTAAAAATCGTCAATATTATAGTAAGTAGCATTGAGTAACTAACAAATTATACAATTTCATTTTTAATTGTCTACACTTTAATTCTTTTATCATCTCTATTGGGAAATTTTGCTGATACTACCCACCTGGTAATAACCTAAAATTATTAGTATAAGGAAGTGTTCCCTTGTGAGCTCTTTTCCTTACGCAATATATGAGTTTACAAAAAAGTGAGTGCTCTTTGTTCCTGAAATTACTAAGAGATGCGTGGGCACTGAGGCAAAAGTTATGACGCGGTTCGTGCTCAACAGTGCGGTTTCTGTGTCCGAGCACATTATTGTAACAAAGGCTCTATCGTATGACTACACAATGAGACATCTGATTTATTTTCTCTGTAATTATTCCTGTTACGTAATGACCAAAAAAAATTGAATGAACATAGTTATGTAATGAAAAATATAATATCGATGCACTTCATAAATTAGAAAATTTAACTGTTATACTCGTATAAAGTAACTAACAGTAACATTTGTTTAGTATACTTTGGAAAAATTGGTACATAAAATATAAACAAACTCTGTGTTAGTTACATTTGCCTGTCAAAGTGTCCAACAAACTAACGTGTGGATATTGTAAATGTATTTGTCCGCGTGTCCTCGTGTCTGTTGTCTCAGCATTTCGCTCGCGCTTCTGTCCCACTCTAACTAATTGCTCTTGTTTTTTAGAATGAGATGGTTAACTTTATACTAACTAATATAGGAGTAAATGGATTAGTTGAATGCGTTTGTAATTGCCACGTTAATATCACAAATGCAAAGGCAATATCTAGTTTGTGGTGTGAGATGAATGATCGTGCTTATTATTCACTGTTAGAATGAAAGCAAAATACCACCGTATAAAGTTAGAATCACTTATTCTTGCAAGTGTCATCGAGGAAGAGAAAAATTTTTAGCGACTGGTGAATTATGTCAACGTGTTTTTTAACCTCTTTCGATAGTTACTTCTGATTATTTCATAAAACCTCCTAATTATGATTCGGGCATCACATTAGAAATAAACGTATCAATTATTTACAAGTAGGATTAGAAATTATGATTAGTGACATTATGAATTTGACAGTTACTTCCAATTCTTTCATGAATACTCTTCCTTATGAGGAAGGTATCGAAATCTTTAGGAATAAACGTTTTTATTTATTAGGAGTAGTGTGGTAACCATTATGAGTAGTATATCAATGGTAATGTATAGGATTTGAATCATTATGAGTAGGTTAGGGTATCGATCACTATGTGTAGGGTATAGGAATAATGTAGTGCTCGTATGTCAGTGCGTGTGTTTGGACGTGTGCGCGTAACCGAGTGTTGGTCGCAGGTAAAGGGCCTGCAGTTCCCCGGTTGCCACGACGCGAAATACTGTCGGCTGGTGATGCATCGCTCCAAGCTTCTCATGAAACCGGTCAGTGACACGACCAATACCCTTCTACGTCACATCATAGGCAAATGACAAGCACCACTTTTTTGTTTTAGCTCGATTTTTTTATTCATTTCTCTTGCTACTCTACAGCTCATTTGATTCATTAATTCATCGTTGTTTTTCGAATTCTTTCTTCTGTTTCAGTGGATTTTTCTTTATTTACCAGTTATTCATCAATCATCAAAAACGTCGGTTCCTGTGATTTTTTTTTAAATATATTTTTAGACCGTCTCATTTCAGTTTTGTAGGTAATCCTAGATCCTAAGTTAACTCTTTTAATGTTAAAGTGTTGAGCTATTTGTGTGTTTGTGTTATCGTTGTTTATTTGGTGGTTGCACAGCATGTTCTGTTTTTTGTCTAGATTATCTTTTGAGTCTGAATTTCTTTAAATATGTTTTTAGATTTTAGATAAATTATTAATATTGTGATCACACTGAGTACGATGCGAGTATTACGACTACAAAACACTTAAGTTGATAAAAATGATAAGCCTGAAACCTGACATCATAGAACTGGTTGAAGCCTAGAGGCCTTATATTGCAGTTATTCATCATTAGTGGCTGTATAAACGTAAATTCTGATCAACGTTATATAGTTTCGCTATATACGAGTACATAAAAATCGGCATATTCCATATACACATGGTGTTATAATTTAGGAAAAAACAATTTAAACTAGTTTGGTTATTTTTTTCTAATCATTTGACGTCTTCGATGGTTTGTAATTAGGACGTTGGATGTGGAAGTCCCAGGTTCCGTTCCCGATAGGACTAATTTGAGATACTTTTCTAAAGTAAGTAGTATAGTGTTCTGGAGTGAATTCCGTTGCTCTGGTACAGGGAATTCCTTAGTTGAGACCAGGTTACTGATGTGGTGGTTTGGCACTATTATTATTATTATTTGAGTAGTAGTAGATGGCAAAATTATGTATTGCCTAACAGTCACCAGATGTAAACGTCTCATTTCAATATTTATAGCGTTGATTGACAGTATAAATAAGTACATAATTTTCCTTTTATTTCTTATGGAGAAATGAGTACAATGATAAAAGAAAATCAACCCAATTGCTATAAACAATAATGTGCAATAATGTACATAAATATTACTAATATATTCTATGCACAAGTTAACTAAATGAAACCAATTAAGTTACTGTTTTCGGAATCCATATTATTGTATGACATTGATACCTGCAGTATAAGGGCTAGACTCCATATCTGTTATGTGAAATACTTATGTTTTTTGTGCTTATGACAAATAATTTATGACTCATAATTAGCGACTATGGGAAACATGCAATAAGTCGTGACGAGTCTGGTTGGCGCCACCTACATTAAATATTTTTGTTGTCAGTTACTTTTCAGGTCCTCTATGATCTGATCAATGACCATATACAATAGAATAAAACTAGAATAAAATTAATATCGTCGTCATATGGCGTTAATTTGCTTGCACGTTTCCTAAGCGCGTCCGCCTCATACACAGCGTGATCAATATAATATTTATGATGTTCTTTGTTTTTCGTAAAGTAGACCCTAATTCCCACATGATTTGAGTTTTCTCGCACCATCTTATATCGTTAAAAATAATGAATATTTTAATAATAGAACGTTACATTCAGGTGCTGAAACACAAGATTGATAATATCAAACGAATGGCAGCGCATCCGACCCAACCATTATGTAAGTATAGTTATATTATCGTTAAATTAGAAATGAAATGGTTCTAAACTGCGTAAATTTAGACCTTACTGAAAGTTTCTGTATTCTGATAAGTAAGACCAGATATTACGTTTATAATAGATTTATTGTTTCTCACATTATATGCCTGTCGCCACTTCGTTATTTATTAGTTTTAGACTAGATTCTAATACCTACGTACCTGGTTCAAATATTCTCAATGTAGATGTTGAGGGACGACAAAGGATACTTAATTTATAGGTATACATATAAGCGGGTAGAAAGACACTGAACCATGATTAAATCGTTCATAACACTACATTGTGCTATGACGAGGAACCGTAGAGGTGTACCTCGTATGTCGCGTACAAACCCCCAGCACATCTCGTCTATGTACTGGGACAGGACACCTGAGAGGTGCCCCGAGTGGGCCTCCGGCCTCCCCTTTAGTCCAACCTCTGCCCAACAGGTTTCAAGCTTCAATAGCCATTAATCGCGGTGCAAGTTTACATGCCAACTAATACCGACCCGATTGATGCCAACGATAGGCACCCACAGTCATAAGCGTCAATGAGGCTAGTCTACTGCGGGTCGAGTCAGCACGTGGCAAATTGATAGTCATAGAACATGTTTCGTAACAAATATTAAACTCGACAATTAACTTAGTTGTGTGTCTTTCCACCTTGTCTATGCATGTCGTAAAGTTAAACAGTACATAGAGGAACTTACCAGTTGTTTGTCTCTTAGGGTACATTCACTTACACAGCCATATCTTTAGTTTTAACCAAACTGAAGTCCACTCGGTTCCCGCCATTACCGTTGCCGTTACTGCCGTCTCGATAGTGTCAAAATAAAAAGTTAGTAAAGGCAAAGCAGTGTTACCACAATACAAAAAATGGGTGAAGTTCGTTTACTCACCAAATGATTGATTATCGCGTGATTCGCGACAATGCCCTCACTGTTCACATACTTTTGCCACACCCCGGACACTCCATACAACGGTTGATAATTATTTACCTACTACTACTACATACAGCACGGCGCTATCTGCACACGCCCAAATGTGTGCGTGAAGTGGCAGGGTTACCCATCAATTTCTCGCGCTTGTACGTTACGTGGTCAGAGCGGCGACATAGCGAAAATTCTAACGCGAATCTGTTATCTATGATTCTATGAATAGAATCCTACATGTACAATACATGTCTATTAGGTATTTATATCGATATATTATTATATTTTTCATTAATTCGCTAACTAGAGTAATATTGAAGATTTATTTCAAAAATATATTAAAATCACTTAAAATGTTATATTTCGGACATGAACTTTTAAGTAAGGTAACCAAGGTATTTCAAATTGTTTGTCCAAGTTTAGTGAATAATTAGATATATTCACAAAGTCATGGCGTCACATTATATTGATATAATAAATCTGTATTTTTTATACATGCATATGTTACTCTGTTGTAAATAAATGAAGAAGACAATAACAGAATGAGTCTCAGACATAAGTTTTTTTTCCTTACTTCGTTTCTTCTTTCGGAAAATGATGATAAACAGCCGTACACAGCACAATTCACGACCATTATAAATAGTAAAGTGAAATGATGTTTTATATTAACGTACAAGTTTCGTAATGAATAAATGAAAACTATATTCAAATATCAAAGCCGTCTTCGCGCGAAAACGGCTCGCCGGCAGTCTTGTTGTCGTACAGTCAATATGACCGGCAATGTGCGGGGCGTGGTGAGGTATCTAAAACTAGGGAGGGGCGGAGAGTGTCCGTTCTTTTTTAATCTCTGCTTTTGCATTCGTTAGAACCATTATGAAAAGCAGTGGGACCAGTCTTCCGTAGGGACCTCTTCAATGGCTTCGTGGAACGCATTAACCGCCGCTTCCAAGTTTTTTGAAAATAAACAGAAGTCGCATGATGCGAGGCCTGGGTTGTATAGCGGATGGATCTGCTCCACATTTGAGACCTTCAAATACGCATTCGTTATCTTAGCGGAATGTGCAGATGCGTTGTCAGGTGAAGAACGATATTGCTTCGAGGACGCTTTTCACGAATTTTTTCTAACACTCTAAGCAAGCAGGTTTACACACCAATCTGCAGTCACTGTTCTTTGGTATTCAAGCGCTACAGTCGTGTAATGTCCTGATTTACCGCAGAAAGAAGCAACCATTTTCTTAACTTTCGTCGGCAAATCTTCAAAATTCTGCGGAAAGCAGTGCAGCCAGCTTTCGTCACCTGTCACGATATTACATACAGCTGTATGTACAGCCAATGATTGTCATCTATTAAACTTTTTTATCATTTTACACGCAGTCGTTTCTCGTATTCCGTTAAATCATACGGTATCCATCGAGTACAAAGTTTCCGAACCTTCAGATGCATATGCAATATCTTTTGCACCTATCTCATTCCAATGCCTAATACCACTGTGTATATAAATAATAGTGTAGTTGTCTATGTGTGTGTCCATGGCAGCCGCGGTATAGGGTTTCCTTAGTGCGGGGCTATGAGTGTGTGCGTATTATTATTCATTATAACTCGTTTCATAGATCTAACTGGCGGAGCGGACGGTTCGGTCCAATTATGGGAGTGGGGTCACCCATCCTGCGTTTGGTCTCCACGAGCACCCGGGGCCTTTGCCAAAGTGACACGAGTGCGCTTTTCCGACTACGGGAATAAATTCGCGGCGTCAGACGCCGATGGAAATCTCGCTTTGTGGCAGTTACACCCTTCTGCTTCTCAGCAGCTACCAGGACAGCAGCATGCGTCGCCTCGACCTTTCTTTGTGAGTATTTAATTTTCTTGAACTACCCTTGGACTTGGAAAATTGTAAAATTAAATGTCGTGGGAATCTTTTACATGCTATCTATCGTCTCTTTACAGACCCGAGATTGATTCCTGATAGACCAAATTTAGAAACGTAGTTTTCCTAAATTGATATGAGTATGGTTTTCTGCTTAGTGCCCTTACAAATTTGATTTAATTTGTAAAGGCACTAAGGTTTGTATTCTTTGGTACTTGTAGTACGGGAATTCACTAGTTTGATCTGTTAGTTCGTGTTACGTATCTAGCATATTTGTTAATTTTCACCTGCAACTTTTTTGTTTTCAGACACACCAATGTCATAGCAAAGGCATCAGCGATTTCGTATTCCTCGGCTCTTGCAGTTTAGTCGCTACAGCCGGCCATAGCTCAGAAAGCAAAAACGTTGCCATATGGGACACTTTGATGCCTATCAAGAAAGCTTTAGTTGTTTGTGAGTAAATATTCACACTATTATCGAACATTTACATTTATATACAAGTTTCATTATATATAACGTTCATTTTGTACCCACCTTTACACTTTGGACCGTTCGTTCTTATTACAATTGATATAGCTTTGAATTTATATCTGGAGTGTAATACCATTAAGGGCGATAAACAAGAAATTACTAACGAGAGCTTATTAGAAGCCCAAAGCCGAAGGCTGAGGTTGCTTTGTAATTTTTACCACGTGCTATTTTTCATATTCACATTTGCGAGGAAATAGATACAACAATAATTTATTTCTTGTATGTATAAATATCGGTTCACAACACAACATTTACAAATTTTGCAAATGGCGGGTTCCTTGTTTTTTTTACACAGATTGCCTCCATAGATAATACAACTCTAACTAAAATGTTATAAAAGGCACAAACGCATGCAGCCACAATGCATTATATATATGAAATAAATAATTTCCAAATTCTAAAAATAGCAGAAATAACAAATGTAAAATACAGTAAAATTGCAAATGTTTAGTTTTTTTAATAGTTCAAGTTTATGCGTAATATATGTTCAGATTTTTCGAGCATAACAACTTTTTGCTAATCTTGACGTAAAAAATCCATAGGGCGGTAATGTAATGAAAAAGCCAGTGGGCATAATTTAGGACATTGCTGCCTGTATGTCTTCATATTGTTTACGAGCAAGTATGATGAAAATAAATGTAGTGGCAATAAATATTTATTGTCTACCGGCGTGACCACGGCGTGATAGTCGCAAATAATTTGTCACTATCACTACGTAGAGAGACTTACAAAAACACGATTAGGATAATAATTAACAGATTAGAATTCCGTAACTTAATTGCAACTGCTGTGATTTCACTTGAATTTGTATGTGTATATATTACTTTGTGCATTGACCTGCCATAATGACTTTATGCAATAAAAATTAATTAGAATAGAATTATCCATTTTGTATTATCAGTGTCTACATGAAACTGCCTTCGTGGCCGAACGATTACCATGCGGTCTGCCACGCAGAGGTCCCGGGTTCGATTCCCGGGTCGGGATAAATATTTGTATGGCCCGCATTTGTTTCTCTCCTGTGTAATTTGTGGTTGTCCATGTGTGTGTCCCTAGTGCGTGGCATTAAAAAAAAGAAAAAAGTGTCACAATATTTACAATATAAAATATAAAATGTCAAGGGATAATTATTATGATTGTCACTAATACAAAAACAGTAGTATTATCTAAAAAAATATAAATAAACTTTGTGTTTGTTTATATTGTCGAAATACAACGCGGTCAAATAAAATTACAATTTCATCGACAGAAATTCGTTAACACTTTAAATTCTTTATCCAATAAGTTCATTCGGTTCGTTCCCTCTAGTTCTAATAAGACAATGTAGTTGCTTTGGTAGTAGTTGTTACTTGGAATGATTTTTTCCCACTAGTTCTATTATTCTTAAAATATAATTTAATAGATCTACTGGGCCTTTTTTTCCAGTAGTTTTATAATAGAACTAGTGGGAACGAACCATTTATTCAATATTTGTGCGCAGCATGGACATGCCACGAAGGAGGTGCAGCGTGCGTAGCATGGGCCGGATCTAGTGGGGCGCTGGTTTCGTGTGGACGACGCGGTGACGTGTTGGTGTGGGATCTGCGAGCTAGAGCCCCGAGGCACAAGCTTCACGCTCACCACGCGCCTATCAAGTGTGTCGCCCTCTCGCCGAGGGAGGATCTGTACGCAATTGGCACTGCTGATGGAGACATCAAGGTAACGTTTACCTTTTCCAGTTTCTGCATAACTAAAAGATCGTATCAAAAGTTTGGGTAAAGTGTTATATGTTCGTGTGTACATTAGATATAATAAATTTATTTTTGTAATTATTGAGTATGTTACCATTCAATGTAATGATTTTTCAGATTTTATATCCTACCCAGGAGCGAACATTCCTTTCAATTATTCAAAGTTAGCTGAAAAAAATCCCTTTATGGGATAAGCTAGCCTTAGTACAATAACGTTTTATTTCTTTATTTGTTTTGTTCTATGTACAATGTATTTACATACATACATAAAACAAATTATTGCGCTTTGATATAAGCGATTTTTATTCGATAAGCTATGGTAAAATTCAATTGACTAGCACGGTGGCCTAACGTCTTGCACTGTGGGCGCTGATTGAGAAGGGCCCGGGTTCGATTCTTGTCAGGACCATTTTGAAAAATTTTTTTTTAACTAATTTGGGTTAGTTGTTGTGTGTAGTATCTCGGGAATTAATTTCGTTTTTGTGGTAGTCATAACACAGGGAATTTATACATATAATTAATCGGTGCGATTATCTGATACTTTATTATTATTATATAATTTCCCATAACCTATTTCGGTTTCTAATCAATTTATTACTCGATTACTAATTAGCCGTTTCATTAAAATTGTTCATGCGAAATCAATACTCTTCTTTTTACTTCACTATGGTAGGTAGTGGGTAGTTTTAATCGTGTTATCGCTATTCAGGTATTTTCATTGGCGACGCATCAACTGCTGCACACGTTCGCCGGCGAACATGCACGGAGTTCCTTCTTCAAGCACATCGGACAAGGCGTCACGCAAATACATATCGGTATGTAACAAATGACAATAAATGGTTTCTATTTCTATATATCGGTTCACAGGTAAAGGTACCATTGTGGAATTTTAACGGATTACTCACCACCCAGTCCGTGGTCCTTAGTCATGAGCTTCCACGGTGGTGACTCGATGTAATTTATTTTTATGATACCAAGTAACGGAAGAACAAACCGTGCGCCTGATGGTAAGCGACACACCTGCCCATAACAGTTGCAGTGCCATTCTGAGTATCGCAAAGATTTGATCTCTCACTGCGCTCGTCACCCTAAGACATAAATTCACACATCCCATGTGGCTGTAAATTCACTTGGCGCGGGCGACGGAAGATGAGACACAACCTTCGTTTTCTTTATTCTTATTAAAGTCATATCGTTGGCTGAATTTCAAAAACCTCGAAACTCCGTTTTTGGACGACATTCCTTTTTTTTTTTTTTTTCTAGCGCAACATCGGACAATGAATGCTTAAAATTTAATTTCTAGAAGGTTAAATCATAGATTCATTATCATCATCTCAACCCGTTAACAGCCACTGCTGGGTACAGGCCTCTTTTGCACGCCAGCCAAATCGGTCCTGTGCGAGTCTCATCCAGTCTTCCGGCCACCCCGACGGTATCATCCGACCATATAGTAGGTGGTCTGCCTCGAGGACGTCTCGCTTCTACTCAGTGACCGCCTTGATCCATCGGTCGTCGTCCCGCCGAGCAACGTGTCCTGCCCATCTCCATTTGAGGCTCGCGATCCCTATACAAGCGTCTACGACTTTTGTTCGCTGTCGTATCTCCACGTTGGGTGTACAGTAGACGAGGGAAATGCCGAGCATGGTGTGCTCCATTGCCCTTTGTGCTACGCTGATTTTGTACATGTATTCTTTTGTGAGCGTCCATGTCACGGTGCCATAAGTGAGTAATCATAGATTATCATATAATTCTTTCTAGTAATTCTGGTTTTTGTGCCTATTCGAAGGTTCATTAATGGAGTTACGAGGTTTACGATGATGATTTAGTCAGGGTAGGTTAGGATAGCACACTACACTAATAATACTATGATGAGAATAAAAATGTGATGAGAATGAAGAAAACCTGCAACTAGCACGCCACCGCCGCCAAGGTTATTATATTCCATTTATAGTTTCAAGTCTTTCGTACCTTTTTAACCTGATGGATTTTAAGTCAATGGCCAATAAATAAAATAATAATAATACTTACACAGTTATTGTAATCCATTCTATTATTTAAATAATAATAAACAAACGTGATTGTAGACAATGCCGGGCGACTGTTTTCGTGCGGCGCCGACGGCACAATGAAGGTGCGCAAGTTGCCAGAGCGCGATGCACCGCCGGTACACCAGCCGCAGTATTGAGCATTCTAGTAAGTATCTAAGGAATAGTCCTTAGGAAACTCGAGAGTAATTGAGGTTATCAGCGCAAAAATGGTGAAACCCACACTGACTTTTTTTCTACAATATTACTTTTAAATTAGGGTTACTTAACCTGTGGTCAATGGACCCTTAAGGGCCCCATGTAATGAACTCTGGAGGTCCATGGCGAGCCTACCTAACGTGACATAATGTTAAATAGGTACTGTGCGCGCGATCTTTTTGAATTTTCGCACCCGAGGGACGGGTTGCAGGCGAGCCTTTCTTCATCTTTTCGGAAAGGTCCTTGGGCTGTTTGAAATTTTGACGAGGGGTCCATTACTAGAAAAAGGTTAAGAAACCCTGCTTTAAATGATATTATAGTACATAATTATTTTATATTTGGATGCTAATTTCATGTATAAAAAAATATGATTCAATATTTTTAATATTATAATTAAATGTGTTCTTTAGTATCATTTAAGGTAATATTGTAAAAACAAAACTAAATGTGTTACACCACTTTTGCGCTGATAACTTAAAAAGAAAGAATTTTAAAAGTGTCGTGGGTTGAATCTCACTATTTAGTATGCATTGACATTCGTGGCACGATTGATGCTGAACGCGCTGAGGATAGCCCTTATAAAACATTTATTTAATATGAAACATTTATTTACACGAGCGTGTGTTGATTATGCAAAAGATGTGAATGAGGATTGTAGCAAGTGGAAGACTTGTGATCTCTGTCTATTAATTCTGATGGGAATAGGGCGTGCGTATGTATGAACGCAGCCCGTATTAATAAACAAAAATTACAATTTGTATGAAGATAGTTGAAGCGCGAAAGTGGTATAACCCACATTTTTTTTTTCCACAATATTACTCTAAAAGTAAAACTACATAATTATTTTTTATTTGGATGCTACTTTCATGTATAAGAAATATTTAAGTACTAATATGTAATCTCACTTGATGGAAAGCGACTATGAGGCATGCACTTCTAAATAATGCCTATTCACTTTATACAACATTCGAATTTGATGTGAAATATAAGATTTTATTTCCTTGACTATTCGTGGTTAGCATTTCAGCCACTTACAAGGTTTTTGACCTGTCTTTAAAACGAGGAAACTTACAACATAAAAGGGAAATTTGGAAACGGGATTAGAACGATGGAGATAGAGAAAAAGGGGGTCAAGCGAGATATACAAGGTTTGATATTATTAAACTTAAATTGATATTATCAAATGACATTATTCTATGTTGTTGGCAGGTGTTCGCGTCCAGCCTTATGTCCCCTTGTGATGTATTTATCGTTGTTGCTGTTCAAATGTTACAAGTATGAAACGCCTTTAGACTAGTCACTGAGTAGGCGATGTTGTATCTAATGTATTTAAAATGTTAAATGAATCTTTAGTTATTCTAGTGTGAAATATTCGCTATTTTTATCTTAATAAATCTTGTCTTAGATGAATATATAATTTATTTATTCGCACTCGCTGTCTGTCGATATATAGGACCTACTTTGTTGACAATATTTTATTTAATTACACATGTGAAAACAAACAATTTAAGTAAATAAATGTTATATTTGCATCTAAATATACAATGGCACACTTTAGTAAACATCTTTAATTTTAAATTTTACTCTAAATTTAATTTAAAAAATATGTTCTTATAGACATTGTTGGTTTTGATAACATTTAATAGAACATTGTCTACCAACAAAGTAGATTCCTTTGCAGTATGTTACATAACAGCAAAATGTATTAAGGTGTTTTTAACAATATCAATCTTTAAAGTTTGCACTTATGTATCAAACTCGAATATAAAATCAGGCACGCAGAAGGCCTAAATTAAGGCGGTTCTCACACGGTGACTCCAGTCGCGACGACACGCGGCGCTACAACATTAGTGTAGTATTGATTTATATGAAGTTGCTATCGCATCGCACACGCAATGTTGCAAGCGAATGCATACAAATACGAAAACCATATTTTCGCGTGTTGCCGGCAAAAAACGTCTCTATGCGAGAACCCCACAAAGTTATAAACAAACCAGTAGGTCATATATTAGTACGTTAACGTTTATTGTGTCGAGTGTTTTAGTATTGATAAAGTGCAATAATTCTAACAATCTCTAACTTATGAATCCGACTGCTGACAATGTCGAAGCCTTAGATAACAAATAACTATCCCTTGAACAACTAGCTTATGATGTGCATAACTTATGTGTAACTTGTTGACGCATAATATAATTTATCTAAATACAATATATCTCAATTTACAGTGTGTATAACTTCGTTGGCTTACTTGTAATGTTAATAACTACCTATATTTGTAATTACGTCGAGTATTTGTCCACTGATTAATGTTCTTGTCGACGTTAAAACTTGTGTACAGGTTGTAACAAAAAGGTATAGTCACTCAGGATATGAAATAAAAAATCAATTAAAATAAAATTTCAGGTAAGTGGTTCAATGTCACGGACAATTTGTTGTCCTCAAATACGTCTATACTTTTTTCTTACACCTCAGTAATAGAGTCACGTAAAATATTATTGGCTGTCTTGTAGTATTGGTTAATTTGATAAAGTTTCATTGGTTGACTCCTCAAATTATTCACAATATTTGGTGATATTATAGGCATATGGGACTTGTCAACTTATGTCTCAGGGTGACAGGCGCAGTGCCCCTCAGATCTTTGGGATTTAAAGCTCTGAGTGGCATTGAAACTGCTACGGACAGGCGCGTCGATAAAACCAGGCGACTTGTTCATCCCGTCACTTGGTATAATAAAAAAGTCTATATTATTATCACACCTCGGACACTCCATACCAACGGTCGAAAATTATTTACCTGCTACTTCTACATACAGCAAGGCGCTATCTGCACACGCGAAAATGTGTGCGTGAAGTGGCAGGCTTACACATAATTTTCTCGCACTATTACGTTACGTGGTCAGAGCGGCAACATAGCGAAAATTGTGACGCGAATCTGTTATCTATGATTCTATTAATAGAATCCTAATGATTATACCTAATAGACATGTACTTATATCGATATATTGTTATATTTTTCATTAAGTCACTAACTAGAGTAATATTGACGATTTGTTACAAAAACATATTAAAAGCACTTAAAATATTATATTTCGTACATGTCGTACATACTTTTAAGTAAGGTAACCAAAGTATTTGAAATTGCTTGTCCAAGTTTAGTTAATAATTACATATATTCACTACCTACGTAATATTTATCGGCAAACCGAATAGAAAATTCGCAGTCATGGCGTCACATTATATTGATATAATAAATCTGTATTTTTTACACATACATATATTACTCTGCCGTAAATAAATGAAGAAAACATGTTGAAAACATATGTTGAGTCTGTGCGTTATTATTAATAACTGAATGAGTCTCCGACATAAGTTTTTTTTTTACTTACTTCGTTTCATCTTTCGGTGATAAACGATGATAAACGGCCGTAACAATTCACGACCATTATAAATAGTAACGTAAAATGATGTTTTATATTAACGTACAAGTTTCGTAATGATTAAATGAAAACTATATTCAAATATCAAAGCCGTCTTTGCGCGAAAACGGCTCGCCGGCAGCTTTGTTGTCGTTCAGTCAATGTGACCGGCAATGTGCGGGGCGTGGTGGTATCTAAAACTAGGGAAGGGCGGAGAGTGTCCGTTCTCTTATTCTTTATTCTCTGTTATTATGTAGTAATTATCGACATTGCTTCTTGGGCATCGAAAGATGAAGTATCCCTTATGATACGATTGCTAATGTGTCGAGACGTTTTCAGTGTGGTACAGCGCAATGGTAGTCTTAAAATTGGGATAGGCACGCAGCTGGCATTGACTCGTTCGTGATGCTATAATAATAACACCCGATTCCCAATGTGATACAGCTCTTTCACAGACCAGAAACTGAAACCGGATCGGTCAAGATATTTTGCGTGACGTTATTAAATATTACCCTTTATAAATTTATCATACACCCCATTAGGTGTAAGTTTTCTCTATTTATATATCGTTAAATGTGATGTAATCTAAATTAATCGTCCATTTTTTTATGTTATATGGAAGCAATATCTTCTGAAAGCGTTGCTTTGAATTTAGCAATAAAACACTGGGCATAAAGTACTTTTTTGATTGACAGTATTATTTTTAAATTATTTGAAACTCTATCCCCATGGATGGAGGGTGTAAAATTGTTGTTTACGTAGCTTTCGGTCGATATGTGTCCTAGCGTATCGCACAAGATTTTCTATATGGAGTTCACACTTGTTTCATTTTGGCTACTTACACTAATTACTTTTCGTTACCTTGGCTCAAGTGCAAGTGATCAACCAATATTCTTAAAAGAGCGAAAGATATCGCTTCCTTTATACAATAACGCAGCATGGTAGAATACTATAATTTTGAACTTAGTACACAGCGACGACGTGACTATGAAAAAAAATTCACCTATCATATATTACAGGGCACATCTAAAAAATTTTAAATTTTTTTGACGTAGGAAGATGGGTGCTTTGTTGCCGATAAAGTTTCTGTTGCTCTGCTTGTCGCTGTATCCTTAGTTCGAAACCACAGTATTCTATAATACTGCGTTATTGTATAAATGCAATATATTAAAAGGCAGTTAGATTCCTTGTGCGCGCTAGGTCGAATATTGAACTAAATATTGAGTGTATAAATCTATTGTGTGCATGTGATATAGTAAGAAGACTTTAGTCTGGCATTTTGTTCCAACTTTACATTACTTTCTATAATAAAATCAACTTTGTACATGTTTTCTGTGTCTATCAACTCTTTTTTTCTGAACTTATTTGAACTTTTATTCTTGTTCTTACTAAAATAATATCTATCTGCACTGACGTAACGATTTTAACAAGCACTTTGTATTAATAATGTATAACATAAACTCACAATTTAATGGTAAGTTAACTAATAATATCTATATATAGGGCCACACGACCGCATAGCACTCAACACGTCCTCTTAAGGAGCGTGCACACATGAATGACATCAACACGAATTTCGATCAAGCAAGTTCCGACATATACGAACACATTATGAACACCCAATGACAGTAAACATGAAGATAATTCGGAAACACTATTTGTATATACATTGTTCGATAAATGGTCATTATCATTATTATTTGTCATTATTATACATCGATTGCTTTCTAGAATAGTGGCCTCAAAACACCTAATGTGAATTGGTTTGAATAAAAATGAAGCCTTTCTGACACACAAAGTGAAATCTCACTATCCAATTCACAATAAAATGTAGGACATTCTATACCATCATGTGATAAATTCAATAATGACCTATTTTGGTTTGGACCACTATTTTTGAAAATGTGTACGTAACATGTTCAATAGTATGTACACGCCCTAAGTGCTGTTAAAAGACATAGGTTTCGTTATTTTGTTTGGTTAACTATTTTTAAATATTTCTTTAGGTTAAATATTGTAAATTCACCAAAGTTTTTGTCCTATCAAAATATCGCGTACAACATTTACGCAAATGTAATTTCAATAAGAATTAAGTTACCATGTTTTAGATTTATTGTAAAAATTCGCACAAGTGCCCGAAAAAAATAGTAAAAACAAGTTTCAAAATATATATTCATTGGCATATCGTTCTTCTGTTCTAAATGGCGTCTACATTTGTAGAATTGCGTGAATGCATAAAAATATTCCGGAATATGTCCTTAGGTTTGAGTTTTATATTTTAGTATCTTTGTGTGCAATGTATCATCTTAGATGCCACATAGACTAGTTGTCTGTAGAATAAAATTGTCAATTTAATTTTAGAGATCGCATTGAGTTAAATGTTTGTAGTAGTTTCCGCTTTGCCACATTACGGATCATACTTTCGTAGATAACTGTGATGTATTATGTAAGTTTATTAATCGTATCACTTTATGGCAATATAATCATTGGTGTAAGGCAACGTTCCTTCGAAATGTAGACATTAAAACGGATATACAGAAACACAATAAACACTATTGGTTCAGTATAAGAGCTTACTTATAAAACTATTAACAGTGGTGTTGATTTGCGTTTATTTGTAAATCTAACTTGACAGGTCTACAATTATACTCTTTCGGCCTGGTAGGGTATTTTTTGTATTTCCAAAATCCTTCACACTCCTCCATTTGGCGATTTACCACTACTCCTAAAGTCCATCAAGATCGTCCTGCCATGCGCCAACACCTCGGTCGTCCCCGTCGTCGCGGATTTAAATAAAAACGTATTTGCACGTGTCACCAAACAAATTTTGGATAGAAATCTTAAATACAATAAATATTTTCCCTATTCTACCTCATTGACAACCAAATTAAGCCCATATAAATCTGAATATTGGCTGGAAAAATAAAATTCACAGGACCTTATTGTGGTAATAATTTTAGATCTGTCAGTTTAGTTTTGTTAATTAAACGATAACAAAATATGTCACCATCTAACATTTTCGTATTCTCAAATAATTATATAGGGAGAACATTTCTAGACAGCACACATATTTATACGTACGTACAATGAAATAAATCGGACACAGCATAATTGAATCAATGTTTACAAACAAGTATAAAATTGTATTATAATAATTAAATGAATACACACTGCACCTATGTTAATATGATAATTAAATTGTGGACATTGTTCATATTTTATGCTTATTTTTGTTTTATTTATGAAGGAAACTTTTAAATAAAGGTTAATTCAATTTGGTTTTTTATTAAAACGGAATATCAAAATTTTTGTTCGCAATTAACCCGCAGTTCAGGTTAGTTGTCCTAACTGAACTAAAAAACAAGATTTTTGAGAAAATGTAAATAAAAATAGATTGTGTTAATTCATAACATTTATTAATCAATATAAATTAGGTACATTAAACGGCTACGAAACAATACTGAAGTATAGTGTAGCGTAAAGAGAAAAGGTAAGAATCGCTCCCCTTTTGTTCAGTCACAGAGAGCAATCATATTGCCATAGATAAGTGAAATTTCAGTGGAGACACACATAAGGATTGGTAAATAAATATCAGGACAGTTCTACTGTACTGGTTAGGTAAATTTACACATAGACACGACGGCAAACAGACTTAACAAGCAATTATACCTAGCGTTGCTATTATATTCACTTAAACAGTTTGCTATCAATGTTCTTTGTGTTGATGCCTAAGTATTCAGCAACGAAATTCAACGCGCGTTCTTTATCCAGTGTTACCTTTCCAAGTGGATTTTCTAAGAACAAAGTCACTGTTCTAGTACCATTTGCAATGTTGACAAATTTGCAGTATGGGCTAGATTGTGGTTCACAATCTTTAGGTTTCGACGGCGAAACTATGATGGTTTTACTATTCAAATTTGTAGTACTTTTTATTGCAGCTCCTTCACACCACAAAGCAAACTTAACGCCATATAGTCCAAATAGAACCTCTACTTCTTTGTAAAGTTTATTTAAACTGATAAATTTATTATCCTTGTCCTTAAGAATAATGCTAGCCCGGTTGGTTGTGACTCCAAAACGCGGTATAATGCCTTCTAACACAATATTCGCCCAAGGATTTGCAGGCAACTCCACATCTTTTCTCCATGTTATGACCAGCTTTAGTTGAGAACCTTTCAGTTCTTGAGTTTCTTCAATAATTACAGGCTTTGCAGCCGAAATTTTTTCAATAGGAATCATTGGTGCTTTCACGGTAGTCTCAATAAATTCGCGATGCGAGTTTATAATGCGAACGATGTCGCTATTTTTGTTAACAAAGTAAAAAACATCAACTTCGTCTGTTGGTACTAAGTGCGCCTTTTTTCTCAATTTTTGAACCCTGTTTATTATTTCCCTTGCGAAACCTTCGTCCAGCATTTCCTGATCAGGTGTCACATTCAGTAATATCAACACGTCGTTATCGCTGTGCGCCTCATACTGATCATTTCCTTGAGCTTGAAAAATTACTCTCACTTCAGAAACATCAATACGGTTTCCTACCAACTCAACAAATCCATCGGCAATCAATTTCTCACATTGGTTGTTGTTCAGATCCTTCAAAGCTTGTGTAACAGCTTTGAAGTCGCCCTTTAGACGTGCCCCCAGTACCTTGTGGTCTGGTTCTACCCTTAGAGTGATGCCGTATTTCTCTTTATCACTTGTAAACTGAACTTTCTTGACATTCATTTCCTCCAAAACATATTTTTCTAGTGATTTCACATCGCGCAAGTACGTTTCATCGCGATGAATAACAATCATCTCAGGGAGTGGGTATTTAATTGGAATAGTTTTCCGATCGCGCAACACTCTGCCAAGTTCAATTACAGCCTGCATTCTTTGAACAGCTCTTTCGATGTTTTTGTCTATCAAGTCCAATTTCGGTTCAGGGATCATATTGAAATGCACACTTTCGAGAGAATCACCAAGCAACAGCTGACGCAAAACTTTGTACATCAATTCCGTTAAGAAAGGCGTGAAAGGGGCCATTACGCGGATCATATCAAATAGTACTCCAGATAAAGTGTCCAATGCCACCTGACAATCTTTAATTCCACTTTCGCCCTTTAGTCTCTTCCTATTCATTCTCACGTACCAGTTGGTGAGGTGATCAATGAATTTGGTCAATCTGGGAACTACAGTATAAAGTCTGTAAGCGGCCATTTCTCGTTTCACGAAATTGATCAGCGACTGCGTGAAAGAAGTTATCCATTTGTCCATCACGTTTTCTCTTACAGTCTTTTCATTAAATTTATATGTTATCTTGTCCTCTTGGACAATTCTTTCTACGTTTTGCATCAGGAATCTAAAAGCGTTGTACCAAGGCAGAAAAACGTCTTTAATAACGTCTCTGACTCCTTCCTCTTTGAATCTAAGATTTTCGGCTTTCACGACAGGAGAGTTGACTAGGTAAAGTCTTAACGCATCAGCTCCATATTTAGTAACTATGTCCATTGGATCTGGGTAATTCTTCTTCCGCTTTGACATTTTCTGTCCATCTGACGCTAATATCAACCCATTGGCAATCAAATTCTTGAAGGGTGGTTTGTTGAATAAGGCAGTTGAAAGCACTATGAGTGTATAAAACCACCCTCTAGTCTGATCAATACCTTCAGCAATGAAGTTGGCAGGGAAAATGTCATCAAATTCTTTTTTATTTTCAAATGGATAATGTAACTGTGCGTAGGGCATAGAACCTGACTCAAACCAACAATCGAAAACTTCTGAAACTCTTTTAAGAGGCGGTTGACCGGGACGCGATGATGGAATTTTTAGATGATCAACACTTTCTCTGTGTAAATCCTTCACTTCCGCGCCAGTAAGAGCTGAGAGTTCTGCAATGCTTCCAACACATACAACTTCTTGTTTGTCACTTGACATCCATAATGGTATTGGGGTGCCCCAATATCTATTTCTACTGATGGCCCAGTCACGTGCTTCTTTCAACCAGTTACCAAATCTTTTTTCCTTCACATACTCTGGCACCCAATATGTAGCTTCACTTGATTTCAAAAGATCTTGACTCATTTGTTCAACTCGAACAAACCATGATGGTACAGCTTTATAAATTAGAGGAGTTTCAGATCTCCAACAGAATGGATAGCTATGTTTTATTTGTCCACTTTGAAGCAACCTGTTGCGAGCTTTCAGATTGGCAATTATGTTTTTGTCTGCATCCTTGACATATTGACCAACAAAATCTTTGACTGGTTCAACAAATCTGCCACTAGCATCGAGTGGACAGATTATATCTTGATCTCTAGTGATTATGCCCGCTGCTAGGCAAACCCGATAATCGTCCTCACCAAAGTATGGTGCTTGATGTACAATACCAGTACCTGATTCATCTGTTACATATCCATCAGTCAAAACTTGGTAAGCGTTTGGACATTTGCCAACAAAATAGTCAAAAATAGGTGTGTACTTAATGCCTTTTAGTTTCTCACCAGGAAATTTTTCAAGAATTTCAAAATCATGTACATTTTTAAAGATCACAGGAAACCTTGCTTCCTGGAGAACATAGCAAGCGCCGGTTGCTTTTTCTTGTACTTTCACGTAGGTTAGTTTGGGATTAACACAAAGAGACATGTTGCTAGGGAGTGTCCAGGGTGTTGTTGTCCAAGCTATCAAAGAGAAACCTTTTTCAGTTGGGAATGTGATTACAACAGCTGGGTCAACAACATCCTTGTAATTTTGTCCTGATTCAAAATTGGATAGAGGTGTTGAACAAGCAGTGGAGTAAGGCATGACTTTAACGCCCTGATAGACCATTCCCTTGTTGAAAAGTTCTTTGAATACCCACCAAATCGACTCCATGAACCATGGGTAGAGAGTTTTATAATCATTCTTGAAATCTGTAATTAAGAATTATTACTTTTCATTTTACTTTTTAATTTATTTAGTTCAGGCCACATGACCCATATATTAAGGACTAACATACATACAATATAATTAAACACTATTTCGTTGGCGACGTGTCGCGCAATCTGATGTTAGGTAACTGGTGTCATTATGATCCTGCATGTATAACATTTAACACAAAATTTATGCACATATGATATCTACATTTTTTTTACACAACTACGTATTTTTTAATATCAAAACATTGTAAATTCTACTCTATCTGCAAGAATTTTGTTTTCAATTGAACACACATTGAAACACATTTAGTGGTTGCCTCTTCTGGTCTCAGTATCAAACAAACAAAAACCATTTCCAGGTTTAATGCTAGTGATAAATTTTTTAGGTTTATTACTATTGATAAGTAGGATAACAATTTACAACTGCAATATAAAGTACCACAGAATACATAATTTCTTATATCATGCTGGGGGATTACTTGCCTTAAATTTATTTAGCATTTATATAATAAGTATGTGGGATGCATGTTCGCATCTACGGGGTTATTTGTAAAATACTAACAACCTACCTCCCAGGACTATGTTACCATAGAGTTTAATATGACAAATATGGTAATTTTTAGACCCGTATTTGGTAGTAAGTTCAAACGTGCAAGCTGCCTCCTTTTGCGCGGTAGCGCTTTCTTTTTTTTCTTTCGTTACCGCAGAGTTTTCACCATTTAAAGCAGTCTAGTCTGTTTAAATGTATTTTATTTTTGTATGAAACTAAATCTGATGAACTATTACAAGTTATGAAAAAAATTGTTGTTTATGATGTTGGTAACAATGTGGTACTTGTAGTACCTGCCCGTTACACCAAGTACCAAGTAGCCCTGTGTACCACGTGTATAGAAACCAAATGTTCTGTTTTTTCGTAAAATGCAGTAAATATTTAATTATTAAGTGAGATTTAATTACGACAATTCAGATGTCAAAGAAAGTTCAGATTAAGTAAACCATTAAAAGAAAACCATAAAAGGATCATGTTAAAATAATGAGAGTATTCAAACCAATCATGCAATAAAAAATATAACTTAAAAAAAAATCATTGCGCTTATATTGATTTTTATCTAATATTATTTCAGTAGATTTCAATACTCAAATCATTTTGACCCTGGCTCTGGTAATATTTGGTAACTTACCAATCCATCTTCCCATTCTAGTAATGATAATCTCCCACTCAGTGGCATATTTCATCACAATCTTCCTGCATTCAGCATTATATTTATCAATGCCCATTTTCTCTACATCATCTGGGCCTTTGATGCCTAGACTTTTATCAATTTCAAACTCAATTGGCAGTCCATGACAGTCCCACCCAAAACGCCTTTCAACATGGAAACCCTAAAAATAAATTATATTGTTTATATTACGGAAAAGAAGCTTTTTAAATTACAAAATTTATGATGACACAAAGAATATCTTTTGATGATGACCATTAGATTATTAAGGCGCCTTGAAATTAGATGCTTATAGAAACTCAGCAGTGGCACGGCAGCTGCACCATTATCAGAGAACAAAAAAGTAACAGTCACATTGACTGAGCGACAACAAGACTTTTTCGCACTAAGACTTTGATATTTGAATGTAGTTTTCATTTATTCATTTAGAAACTTGTATGTTGACATATAACATTGTAGCCACTTTTGCAGTCACAATTCGGAAACTAAAAATTACTGGAGCGCTACAGACCTGTCACACCACAGTGTTTCTACAAGTGTCTAATTTGAAGGTGCCCTTAGTAATGTACTGATGAGCTAGTACATAAGTGCTTTTGTACAACAACAATCTCAAACCAGATTTCATTGGGACTACCCGGAATATATCATTGTAATGTATTTATAGTTCGGTTTAGCATTGTATTAAATGGTTATAGGGTTTTTTCTGTGCAGAAACTGCTTGCATGCCGACATTACTGATATTGTTACAAAACAGTACAATTTAAGAGTAGAGAGAACCGTGTAAAACATAGAAAAAATATGGAAATTCCAAGATGACAGTAACCATTTTTTAGGTTGTGTCCCAATGATGAAACAAACAAGTTGTAACAATGGTGGTAGCGACACACCTGTCCATGACAGTTGCGGTGCCTTCAAAAATGGAATGCAGTAATGGTCACATAACTGCTTGGCGGCACAAATATTTACGGTGGCAGGACTTCCCTGGACAATTTTCACAAGGAGCTCTACTGCTATGGAAATACTAAATGGAACCAAAAACTTTTATTCTCATTTATAATTGGATAACTAAATATTATGCATAAGCAAAAATAATAAGCAAAAATATAAATAATCCTATTATTGGCAATAAGATTTGCACCGTCTTTTGGTTACAACAGTATTGGATTTCATGTGCGACATGTTTCATCAATATGAAGACCTAATTTACCTGTTGATGAGCATAACGTGTAACCACATCTTTGATGGTTCCGGCAAGGATGTGCCCGTAATGCGGCAAGCCGGTGGCGAAAGGTGGGCCGTCATAAAACGAATATCTGCACCAAACATCGACATATTACCTGTCAATTTACTTCGAAGCGTGTGTAATCATCATATCATTAATCACAGGTTTCAAGAGCAAAGTGCAGTACAACCACACAGCAACATGTCCATTATTCAAGATATTAAATGACATAACCTTACCTAGGCTTATTCTTCGACTGCTTAAGACATGATTGAAACGCGTCTATTTCCTTCCAGAATTGCAAGATCCTTTCTTCTTCTTTCGGAAAATCGATGTTTTCCGGCACCCTATCGACTTTTTGAGACATGATGAATATATTTCTTTGAGTTCGTAACCTTACGTACACGCCATCACGAGCACGGCCAATCACGACACCATAGATAACGAAATTTACTTGACTTGACCATGACAGCTGACAACACGACAAGATTGTCTTTTTTTTTTTAATTTACTAAGGACTTGGCAAAGCCAAAAGCCTAAACATGAAGTTTAATTATGTTTCTGTAAATATGGCCGCCACAAAGAGGATAGGCAATTTGAGGCGGCGTGGTTGCATTGACTCGGGATTCCTTAAAACTGGCCGATACGGGTATTTTAGTTCGAGATTCGTATAATTTCGCGTTTTAATCTTCGATTAAGGCACAATAGCACTATACTATTCCACTTTAAACTAGATTCACAAAATAATTGAAAGTCAAAATAAAAACGACACTTTTCCCTCCAAAAGGTCCAAAGCGAATCCGACAAGTTTGTCAAGTAACACAGGGTTGCCAGTCAAATAACCTCGTGTTTTGTCTTTGTCCATAGGTGATACAACCGATCATCGTCGTTTGAGTGCGTAACGGTATTCTGTAATCGTTGAGACTCGCCATTCGATATTCGTTATTCGGTTTTACCGACGTTATCGATTTTGTCGACAAATGCTATTCTGTACACTACTTTAACAGAGCATAACGACAATTCGGTTCGATACGTTCATTATGTTTCGTTAAGATTCGATATTTTTATCGGCTCTTCCAGGGCACCCTATTTTGCATCTGAATCGATTCACAGATACGATTATGCTCCTGAATCAACCGATTCAATAAAATAAAATTGATTTTGATAAAAGCATTATAATTTTGACCGACTGAGACCCTTTCGGTCTCAGTCGGACGCGATTACTTCATGGACGCTGTTTTTTCGCTATAGAGAAGCGACGCGCTCTTTTAGCTCCTATTTTTATCGACAGATTATGTAACGAAGTTTATTCAAAATAAATTGTAATTGTTTGATATAAATCATGCTGTACTGTAAGAAAAAAATAAAAATAAAAGTACATATACGAGTACATACATACAACACACATAAATTACAAAAGCAATAAAAATAACCAAATAGCTAACTGTCCTTATCATGACAAGACAAGACATGTGCAAAAGACAGAAAGAGACCCGTTACGTCAATTTCAATTTTCGAACCACAAGCGATAGAAATATTTAGATTTAGAACAAAGAAACTATATAGTTGATAATGGCATTAAGACTACTCCATCACTCTTGTGTTCAAGTAGTTTTCACTAGAAGCTAAATATGGTGCATTTTGTTATTTCCATTAGAAGCTAAATATGGATAATTTTTGGGCCTTTAATTTGTGGGAAACAAAATTAAGCAATATTTTGCAATGACTTTACAGTTTAAATCAAATATTTTAGTTTTTTTTATACTTTACTTGTCATTGGCTCCAACGCTGACCGCGAAAAGCCATAAACTGAAAAAATCTCCGGACATTTTTTCGCGGTTTTTGGATTAGACTTTGGATTGTATTTATTGTCATCTATTTATTGGTAAGTCAATGGGCAATCTCCTCTGGCAAATACAAGTAAAACAGTACCACTATTACACTACACACAAAATTAAATTAAAATGGAAAAAGAAATTCACTAAAATAGGTACATCCTCATACATATCGACACCGCCACGTCGATAACTTTCCGTCTCTGGTATATTCATGAGAATCGATTTATTTTTAAAGGCCTATCCTGCGTACGGACATACGTAGTAACAGTGACAGGAGTAGACATAAGCTAGTGTTGTAGATTTTTGTTTGTGTGAGACCACAGTGACACAATTCAATTTTTCATTTGAGTGCACCTGTTTGCTTGTAGACTACCTACCGCCCCTCAAAAAGTGACAAAAGTTTTGTTCGAGAAATAACGCTAATAGCGCCTCCCGTCCTATATGCTCTAAGCGTGAAGTTGATTACAACTTCACTCATTAATTACTGCAAGCTTGCAGTCAATCTCTGAGCGACCTTAATCTAAATCAGCCAAATACACAACACTAGCATTGTCAAAATTGCGATTAACTTGACACAAACGAAATACTTTGAATTACAATAGGTAGCTAGTTAGAAAAAGATCGCTGCTCATTCTTCTCTTTCATTCTGTATATTTATCTCTTTTTCGCAACGTAAAGTACCTGTGTAAAACAATTCCCCAAACCGCAAACTTGCTGATTGATATTGTTTTGTGAGAATTCAATTCTTTTAAATTAATTTTATTTTCCTCAGTTATACACTAAATTCGCACCCTGCGCTTTTTATAATAACCATAAGTAATGGAATGGATAAAAGCTTCTCCAAGGTAAATACTGACAAATAAGTTTAATGTCCAGTTTTTGTGTAGTGTTCGTATTATTGAAATTTTTCTTCTTTGTTACACTAATTTCAACACATCAGTTTGCAGAAAGGCATCGTGATCGTCAATAAACTTGAAGATACAAAATTCGAACAACTCCTTCGTCGAATAGTTGGTAAAATTAAACTTCAAGACACAGAAATCTTCACTCAAGAAGAAAGACAAAAACTAGAGAAAATATTCAAAGTTGATGAGGACAGCTTGCTACTAGCCATCAAAACTGTGGTATACTTGTTTAAAAGAATGTTGAAATTCATACTTATGCCTGTAGATTTAAAGAATGACTTGGATAAAATTGGATTGGGTAATAATAAAGCAGAGGTCATTGTGAAAGTATGGTCTAATGAAACTAGAGAAATTTTGGAAGAATTAGGGTCAGACCGTATAGATAAATATGGAGAAAATTTAAATTTGTCATGGAAATTAAATGCAGAATTAAGTTCGGACTATAGGAAGAAATATAAAGTTCCTAAAGTTTATTTATCTGTGAATGGAGAAAATCGTGAAACAGAAATAGAAATGACACATCCAGAACTTTATTCTGTTTTCTTACAACTTGAATCCATACAGAATGAGTTAGATAATATAATGTAACTTTAATTTTCTTTCAATGAGTAATAAAATAATTTCCAACATGAGTGTATTTTTATTTATTTATTTTATAATATGAAGTGACAGGACAAACAAGTTGTGTGCCTGATGGTAAGCTACATGCTTGTCCATGACAGTTACAGTGCCACTCAGAGCTTTAAATCCTTAAAGAATGGAAAAAAATTAAACTTTAAATCACATAGCTCTGAGGAGCACTGCCACTGTATCTGTCACCCTGAGTCATAAGTTGACAAGTCCCACTGCCTGTCATTTCAATAAAAAATTTTCAAATAGTTATTTTATCTTTTAAACTTAAACTATGTTAATACAAATTTCTGTTATTTTTTTCCATTTTGATACTTTGTGCCAATTGAAACATTGTTACGGAACACGTTACCAAAAACCGGTGTCTACTTTTCATACCCACTTATTCATGTATGTACTATGATTATTTAAAGAGACTAACCTCTTTCCATAACTAAGTACAGATTCGTCTACTGTCACTTGTGAAACCAAAATTGCGTTGAAAGGAACGTATATTTACGCCAAAATGTCAAAATTGAAAATTTGTCACTTTACTTTTTGAAACCAAGTTTTTCATTCACAATTTTACCAAGTCTTTCAGCTACTCACAAGTCGTACTATGAGCGACAATGATGCCTATCAAACCTCGTCTGATACTGCGGGTTGGAGTAGCGGTGAGAGGGCGCTAGTAGGCAAAAGGGGAAGGAAGCGGCGGGTGGGGCGAAAAGAAGATGAACTTACACCTTCGTCAAGTCCTCTAGAATGCTCAGAGGTAAAATTGAAACGAGGTAATTGAAGCATATTAACTATGTAGATATTGTTACACCTCCAATGTAGATATTACTACTTTAGCTGAATCCAAATCTTGTTCTCCTATAATCTGGTAAAATTGAGAACAAAGATTAAAAGTTATTCTTTAAAAGAGGGCCGTATTTGGTGAAGTCAAAGATAGGATGATGTGGTATTGTTTATGTAAATGATCGCATATTTCGGTAATGATTTGATTCCGCGCCGTGGGAGTACTGTTGAGATTTACGACGTGTCGCCTACAAATCGCTTAGCATAAATATCGTGTTTCTTTTACAATCAAATATTAGTTAACTCACCTGATACCCAAGATAGATACTAAACGTGTAGGTAATTAAATAGTGAAGGTTCTACTTGCTATTTTATTTTAGTTTTAAATGCTTTAAATTTTTGAAAAAGGTATTGTGTTTTTTAGCGCCATCTAGCGTTAAGAAATGAAATTTGTAAATCAGAGACAATAGACGAATGCCGTTTGACGGAAACAAGACTTACGTCATAGACAATACCATCCCATACGTCAGAGCTTTTGGCAGCCCGTGGGTGAACTATTTTCTTCATTGTTGACCTTTCCTAAATCTTAGGTGTAATTATTTCATCATTATAAGTACTCTGGCTGTGCCCTAATAATCAGGAATATAATATTTTGTGGAAGTGTCGACGATGGACTCTGAAGATGACACAAAGGATGATGTGGATTCTGGGAACGAGTCGAGCGGAGACGATGTTGACTTTGCTATGGACGTTGAGACCCACAGTACGAGGGAGCGGCAGACGGACCTCGAGGAGTACCCCTACGAGGTGTTGTCGACGGAGGAAATCGTTCAGCACATGGTTGATTGCATCAAAGAAGTGAATACTGTCGTCGAGGTCAGTATGTTAGTGGTAAACAATGGATGCCTTGAATTAGGTTACTCGTACGTTGGAAACTTCAATAGGTTCTTTTGTGTGCGTCTGGAGGGGTACACAATCGTCGTTGCTAAAATGGCTGGCAAATTTCGGTTGCAAATTTCGCGGCATCATCACTTTATCATAGTATAATACTGGTGCCCTAAAAACCTAGTTTCACATACATTGCTGTAAACATTTCAGCTGTGGGTTTTTTTTGCAATAGCTGGCGTCAATATGATTTTTTATTGTAATTTACGAATTGGTACAAAAAATTTTTTTTGATGTAGGAATCATTTTTCTTTATACCTATTTGCATCTTCTATTCTAGATTCTACCTTGATTGTTCTAGGAAATACTGTAAGGCTTCTGGTCTCGTTAAAATGACTTGTTTTGCTAATATCAAATTAGCATGTTAGTGTTTTCCTGGTCTTATTGTTGTGCGTTGTTTTCTTGGTGACTCATCTGCTCTCTTTTTATTACTGTGATTACAATCTAATGAGTAATTGACAAAAAAGTAATTCTTAAACATTGTTTCCTTAATGTATAATGTTATGGTTCTGTAGTATCATTTACTGAGAAGCTCTTAATTATTTTTCTATTCATGTTATGCTATGTGTGGCAATTTATTTTGCACTAAATTAGTTCAGATTTAATGATAACATGAATTAATGAAATTTGGAAGCAGGATATTTGTACAGAGTTAAGTGTATTTTATACACTCTCGTCAGTTTGTTATTTTAACTTTTGTAATCTTAAATATTTATTGTAATTTCTAAGACTTTTGTCAAATCAAATGTAAATACTGACTTATGGTTATGGAGGGCAATGATGCAAGATGGGCTTGCAAAAGTGTTAGCCAGAAAGTTTTTATAGGCCCTAATTTAAAGGTACTGTCAGAGACATCTGGCTACAAGCCACCGGTCTCCAATATTCAAACAGCACAAAGGCTCTTATGTTAGGCAGGAAAACCTCCCAGTGCTGGTTAGGGCTTTCATGGTACACTACAGTATATAAAATGTTTATGTCTGACCCAAGTTAAGTGTGAGCAGACAGAATATACAAGTTCTATGTTGTAAAGGTGACACTTCTGCTTATGTCACCGTTGCTGTGTAATTAGCAAACCAAACTTACTTACTCCTGGGCTAAGGCTTTTTGACCTTCTATCTGGATTTGTTATTTATCTGGATTTTTTGGCTTAGGGTAACACATATAGAGCAACATTTTCAGAATTAAAAGTAAAATATCCACCTAGCAATTCTGTTATAAAAACTCTATTTACAATTAAAATTTTGTTCCACATCTGGTTGACCATCTCTGCTGGCGCATGAGAGATAGAGAGATTTTATTGTGTTAATGAAAAGTTCAGATTTTCATGCAAATATCATGTTTTTTGTCTGGACTATTTAAATTTCAGGATGGTAACCTATCCTGGGCAGACTTGTCTGACTACAGGACACAAAAACAATTAGTATTATATATACAATACTACAATTCTTTATTGCTGTGTAATAATTACAATAGATAAAATTTTTGGTTGCAGTGTTGTAATCTGCCCTAGTAATATTAAAGAATTACCTGCAATTTTAGAAACACTTGAAAATATTCAAAGCAAGATTTGAAATCTAAATGAATATCATTTTTGACAAACTTTTATTTAAATTTATACATCACGTTGGACAAACATATGATAGGGACTATAGATCTGTAATTTGGCAATAAGTTTATAACAAACACAATGTTGTTTTGGCACTAAAATTTACTGATAAAGATGCCCACATAAATGAAAGATTGTTACAATGTAGAGTCAATGCTTTATTAAATATGCAAAGAAGAAAGGTAAATAATATGTTGAATGTTAACTTCTTTGGTTATTCCTGAAGTTATTGTTTTTTAAAAGCAAATATGTAGGATAGATATAGTTAAGTACAATAGTGAAATACTTACATTCTTATAAAAATAACCAATTTAAAAACTATGTAGGTAACGTAAAAATAGCATCTCAGTCTCCTACATCTTTTTGCGCTTTTAGCAGCTGACTTAATCTAATGGCAAGTCCAAATTCAAATGATATTATTCTTACCAATTTCTTTAACAAAGTTTTTAATTGTATATGGTATATGATCAGAAAAATCAAACTAAATACTATTTATATGAATAACATACTGACGTCACTATATTTTAGTATGGTAATGCTATAATAATCATGCATAAACATATTTTCAGGACACAACATGATGACTTGTTATTAATAACATTATTATGGCAATATATGTATATGTAACAAAATAAATAGTGTACCACTATGCTATGCAGTGACCAGTACTGTTTACTTTAGGGTCTATAATTCCCCATTAGAAATGAGATCTCAAACCCAGAGAGTGTCCCCATAACTTGCCAGAATTGTTAGCACTGTAAAGTAAGCATTCAGGAGGTCATTCAAATAAGTTTGAAAGCTATTTTTTAAGCAATCTGGATTTAATTATTGATAACAAATTTATATTGTATGCCATTTCATTGGACTAAAAATAAAATATGCTAATCATTGTCACTATTTATTTTAGCGCACAAATAATGGTATTTGTGTGCTTAAACAAATAATTTGATTCCTGTTTAATTATAATTTTCTGTATGTTGTCGTACATTCGGTAACTGCATTTACTCATATTGTAACTTATATTAAATTATATTGTAACGTACTTTGAGTACCACAGCTAGAAAAATCAGACGTACTATTCTAATTACCCAAATGAGGACCATTCAGTAAAGATTTCTGAGATTGGTTACATTCTTTCTGAGACTTCATCGTTTTTTTTATTCTTGTTGTGTAGTGGACTATATGGTTGCCCATAATCTGATTTGTTGTGGTAACAAACTTATCATTAACACTTTTCGATAACAATCAAAATCATTACATATAGTCGTATTAATATATGAGTACTTTGCAATATTGATTATTTTGTCACTTGATTGTAGATAATCGGAAGAAGATTAAGAATCGGTGCCGCCCGCTTCCTATCTTCCATACTAATGCAAAAAATGACAAAATTACGCATGACTTGTTATTGTATGCATGTTCTCCATTGGTTTAATTGAATGTATATATTCTGCGATGTGCATAGTATTCACATTAACTTGCAGTATATTGTAAGTTTTGATGTTCCTATGTATAGGCATAGTATAATAAGTTAACTGTGGTAACTCCATACAAACGTAGCAGCGCGTCTCTAATGTGTGCATGCCCGCCGCATGCGAATGTGTGCTTCCGTACACGGCACGCAGCGGGCGCGCACATATACAAACCACGTTGCTACGTTTGTATGAAGTTACCATAACGTGACTTTGACTTGTATTATTGGACTGTAGCACAACAATATAAGTACTTTCACAGGCTGTAGGTAGCATTATAAATAACATTGCCAGATGTGGTTGTTTCTCAATATGCCTCAATATGACTCATTGTACTCTCAATATGCCTCCGAACGGTTACCATGCCGGATTGCCACGCAGAGGTCCTGGGTTCGATTCCCAAGCCAGGAGAATTACAGTGTGTTGATTTGCATTCTCGCCATATTTAAGAAATTAATAATATAAATAATGCTAAATCATCTAAAATATTTAAAAAAATATTCTGTTCAATATTCTGGCTAATTGTATCTAGTAAAGTTTTGTAAAACTGTCCCCAAGTGTATTCACCGCGGAGGACAGTGACCCCGCCACTCGCTTCACCAAGCGATACGCTTTCTCGATCGTTTATTTACCTATTTTTTAAATTATGTTTATGTACTAGTATTGTTATAATTTACTAATTATTTACAATAGCTAAAGTTGACTGAAAAAATATGTTTTGTAACTTAAATTTGGTACTTACCAACTTTAGGTTACATGAAAATAGTGCTAGAAGTACAGTCAACAGCATATCAAGCGATACACTATTGTTCGACTGTCGTCTCAATAGCAACGGAACAAGATACGTCAATGTGTAGCTTGATGTGCTGGCGCCCGTACCTAGCTCCACAGATTTGCGGAGTTTCGTTTCAACTTAGCACATTCTTCACAACAGAAAAAGCAGAAAGAAACCATAGACGATTTTTGCGCGCAATTCCTCGTAATCTGCGTAAACTAAACGTTTCACATCATGCCTTATGGTAACGCACTTGATGGTAACAGTGTCTGGTGAACCTGGTAGCGATTTTTTTTGCACTATCTCTTGTTTACATACCAAATCTCGTTGCATTTCGTGAGAAACTAGAACGTATGCTAACGCATATGTTCTAGTTTCTCTACGTTCCTCTGACAGTTATGACGCAATACGCAAGGTCGACTGATGATCTGCCAATCACGCGCTCGATGCGATACTCCCCCCGTCCGTGGTAGGGTACGGACCCTACCACCAAATTGATCTAAAATCCATATTTTCTGCGCATAGGTCATTGTTCAAATGGTTGCCGGTACCTGTGACACGTGTAGTGTAATTGAATGAGCTTTGGATCAAGCATGTTTACCGGAATTAAATAAAAAATAAGAATTTAGGTTTTTTTTCGATTTATTTTTTTAGTGATTTGGGTTCAGTTTCGGATATGGAATGACCTCTGTAAATATGGCGAGAATGCAAATCAACACGACATTGTTTGTGTATGGCCTACATTTATTTCTCCCGTGAGTTTGGGTGTAATTTGTGGTTGTCTATGTGTGTGTCCATGGCACACGCGACACAGGGTTTCCTTAGTGCGGGGCTGTGAGAGTGTTGCGTTATTATTATTGTTATTATTAATATTATTAATATTACAGATACCAGCAACCACTACGCGCATCCTACTAAATCATTTCAAATGGGACAAAGAGAAGCTGATGGAGCGGTTTTACGACGGCGATCAGGACCAGCTGTTCGCCGAGGCGAGAGTTATTAACCCGTTCAGGAAACCAGTCATACAGAGGCCAAAGGTACAAAACACTGTACGTAAAGCAACGCCTTTGATTTGCCAATAGATATATTTCAAGGTCACGTGGTCTTACTAACAACAATATGAATTTGTACGAGAATAAGTATGGTAAACTGATTCATATTCTATATAAATACATGAGAGCCTAACGCCTTGTAATTATTGCTATGTACTTAATTTATTTTTTATTTTATTTAATAAGGCTTACCAACTAAGTATATACAGATACGTTAAATATTAAAACGAAACATTTAAAACTAGTAGTATGGATGCATTTAAATTAAAGGTATTTTTTTTGGAAGCACGAGAGTACGACCAGTTTGTCTAAACATATATAACTAGATCAAATCTAATTTACATTCAACAATTTGTATACCTACAAATTGCAAAAACATAAACTTACGCAAAACCAAGCACAAATGAAGCAAAACAAAAATAGCTAGATAGCTCACCGAAGACTGTTAACTTCACTAGTAAAATATTTTTGTTTGACATTCCTGAAGCTGTGATATTTATCACTAAAAATATACAATACACACATTTTGAAAATACTCATTTTATTTTCTCGTAGTAGAGTAAAGTGCAGACATGCTACCATCATTGGTTTTTCTCAGTTCAATACCAAAAGGTTTGTAATTATACAGCCTAGCTGACATTCAGATATTCTTAAGTTTATTTGGGACAGAAGGGATGGACAATCTATATCATGATTTAGTAATTTAAACAAACAATTTAGGGCCTGTTGTTCATTTAAGTTTACTAAAAAATCTTCAAGTGTTTTTTATGATACCATAAGTAGTTTTAATACCCAAGCAAATTAATTCCATTACACTATTCACCTCATTTATAGGCATGCATTCGTTAGCACTCTGACCTGTATCTGCATACGCTTAAGGCGATCATCACACTTGCCCACTGGCACGAAATTGCATTAAGCCGGTCACAAATTATCTCCGTGTAATAAGATCGAAAAGAACGTGCGTTTCGCATTGGCGCTCCGAGCGCAAGTGAAGCGCGCAACGGCTTTCGATCTTATTGCATAAAACATTTTCTGACTGACTTAAGATGATTTCGCTTTAATAAGTATGGTAACTCCCTAAGCGAACGTGTGCTAAAATAGGCGATAATCGCGCAACGATGATACTGAAACGTCCTGTCGACATTCCTTAAAAACACATTTTCGGATCTAAATATGTATAAGATGAATACTGAATATAGGGTTATTTGTAAAATAGTATTTATAACAATAAATCTCAGTACTGTATTCCTAACATCATAAACAAGAACTTTTGTTCCATCACTTGTAATAATCGATCACATCTTATTTTTGTACAAAAATAAAGCTTTTTAAATAGATGTATCTAAACAGTGATTACTCTTTGCGGTAAGATGCAAAACACGAGAGTAGGGTGCGTCGCGGAGGACGCTTGTAGATTTGAACTTACAATTTTACTACCAAATATAGGCCTAAAAAGTGTCAGATAGTAGAACAAAATCCTAAAAGTTTGTTTTTGGTAAATTTGTAATGTTTTGTAAAAAAAGTCAAAAGTTTTTGTTTTTGTTTGTTTTTTCAACAAAACAAATATACGCGATGCGAAAAATTAGTTTTTTTTACTTTGTGTAACGATCGCGAAAACCTAAGAACTCGATACACGTTTATAAAATTTTAAAAGTATGTTTTGTTCTTTGCAGCAGCCTAGAAGAATATCCACCACAGGCACTGAAGAATGTGAAATATGTTTTTCAATTCTACCGACCGCTGTAAGTTCCTTTTTCAATTTTTATGGTTTTTTGTAAGTCAATGGTTTTAACTAAATCTTTCCATTGTCAAATATAATATTGTTAGTGGTTTATCTTAAATACGTAGTAGTTCAGCCGAAAAAAATTACGATTTAACAGTTATGTTGTAACCCGTATTTTTTTTCTACAATGCTACTTTAAATGATACTAAAGTACACAATTATTTTATATTTGGATGCTATTTTTGTGTGTAAAAAATTTTAATAATTTTTTAAGTAATTTTAAGGGAAACTGACAAAAAGATTTAAAAGAAATTACGCACATGGAACCAGCCATAAACGGCGTTTGATTGGTGCCAAATACGACAAAATTATGTTTGAAATGAAATTTCGTACATAATTTTTTTGTGTTTTCTCTTTTCTCTAAAAATATTAATTTCCTACACTGACCTACCAATAAAGCTTGATACTACGGCATTTCGACTCGTCGACTGACCGGTATCATTGCTTGTTTCGAACCCTGTTGCTCGACCGTGCTCTTCCTTCGCAGTTGAGTTTTTGTTTCTAAGATTTTACTCAATTATAGCTTACTCTAAATGAAGAAAAAAAAAACGTTATTGGATTTGAAACTTTGTGATGACTGATGACGCTCGATATGCATGCACTACGCGCTCACGACGAGCTGTTGTACTATAAATTGAGACTTAACGTTAACTCTCAAATTATTAAGGATTCTTCAAAAAACCGACTATAGGGTGGAACAAATGGAGCTCGCGACCAGCGGCGCGGCTCGGCTCGCTGTACTAACTGTACGAATGCTTACATCGTAACGTGTTACTTTACGCTGAAGTGAACTGGTCAGTCACCACATTTAAGCGGGCGATATTAAAAAAAAAAAAGTGTCCGCACGACGTTTTCCAAAGCAAAGAACTAAATTGAATGTTAGGAATTGACATTTACAATGATAATTAGATTCCTTTGTTCCGTGACATACGTCGCCAGAGACGTCTAAACGCCGGAAATTTTGTCTCGACCTTGTGTCGTGAAATTGTCAGCCGTGTAAGCGAAGTGTGGCGAGGTTGCGCAATTCCGCCGGACTGCTGCTGGACTCACGTATCCTAATAATATAATTATATGCCAGAAAACCACGTCATCACCTAGACTCAACTAGGAAATTCCCAGTAGTCAGTACTATGAGTACTAGAGCAATGAAATTCACTTTGGGGCTCTACCCACTACACCCAGAATAAATATAGAAAACTTTTATTTCTTAATTTCGTCGTCAATAATGGATACACCTTATTAAACTTGTTTGGTAATGATTACTGTATAATTAATACTATGTTGTTTGAAAATTTATTGTATTGTTTCCAGATGATGACAGGTTTAGAATGCGGCCACAGATTTTGTACGCAATGCTGGTGTGAATATTTAACAACTAAAATTATGGAAGAAGGCTTAGTAAGTATTTGTTGGTTTCCATAATTATGTTTTTTCTTGTTTGAAGAGTTATGCAAGAAATAATGTTACACCATAATTATTTAAATAATACGGACTTTCCGTTGACTGACCTTGGAAAAAACTGACCGATCCGAACACATTGTTGTCTCCTTATGCGTGGATGGTCGTAATTTAATATTTTGTGGTACAAAATTATTAATGTAGTGCGATTTAGGATTTCTTGTTCTGTGTTGTCATGCACTAATTTTAATACATTAGCGCTGAGAGGGGCCTTTTTGACAATTAGAATATAGACGTGTTCTTGTACACAATCTTTACCTGATATTAAGTGATGATGTGATGTGTGTAGATAGATAAATGTTGTACATGTAAAAAGTTTCTTCAAAATTATACTTCTGTCAATAATAATGACAGAACACAAAGAAAAGTTTCTTGTATCTGACTGAACTTGAACCAGGGACTGTTGTCATGCCCGGGGCCACCTCTCTTAACCTAAGTTTAAGTTTCTTGTGTTCGATCTTTGTATCAATAATAATGTTTTCACGAAAAATGTATAAAAATAATGGCAGTAAAACATCATGATATTAAGTAACTAAATATTAAATTTATCTCATAATATCTCTAATAAAATAACTCAAATAAATGTGTAGATAAAATTTATGTAACGATGAAAACTGTTGTCACATTTTATTTTATGTGTTATAGTTGTCTTATCTGTGTGTAATTAGGGTCAAACTATAGCGTGTGCCGCGCACGGGTGTGACATCCTGGTGGACGATCTGACCGTGATGCGGCTGGTGAGAGACCCGCGCGTCAAGCTCAAATACCAGCATATCATCACCAATAGCTTCGTGGAAGTGAGTGTGGTCCTTATGTCTTATGTTATACATGTGTTTTAATTACAGTTTATTCAGTCATTAACAAAAGGCCGGAGTTTTGTAAAACAGGTCGTCATCATCGACCCATTTATACGTTCCACTGTTGGACATGAGTCGCCTCTTAGGCGAGGGCCATAGTTCGCAACGTGGACCCAAAGAGGAAAAAAAAACAAAGGAAGTGCTTTAAGCCTCCATTACTACCAGAACCGATGTCGCCAAAACTCACACATTCTTAATTTATTAAACACTACAAAATCTTGATATTGATTGGTCGTAGTTTCAAATTTAAAAATAAATAACAGATTCGGGATTGTTAGTATAATTTAAACTTTACTCTTTTGGCATATCGTTGAAAATTCAATACTCAATACCTATTATAGCAAGTTACGATGTTTTGGTAGTATATTGAAAATGCAACCAATGTGCTGCCATCTAGCGGCTTATTGCTGAACGATGACGAATTGGAGTTATTAATTTAGTTCTCCAAAAAAGAAGCGACCATATTGCAGGGGCATAAGCTTTACTTTCGTTTCTTGTATCAAAAATATATTTCGATAATCAAAAAATTGGAAATTTATTAAAATAAAACTTTCTGATGGTTTGAAACACCACCACGGGTAATATTTTCGGTGCGGCTATCATTTTTGCACTCCAAAACAGCACAATACGGCAGTTTTCTAGGTTTTTAGAGAATTTGCACGAAGGAATGACACAACCATACTAAACAAAGCGAAAATGGCGGACTGAGTTCTAATAGGTCTTTCGAGACTTATAATTGGCAAGCGTTAGACGCTAACTAACCACTTCTACTATATTTATTGTTCTATGAAGATTTCACACTTTCCGAGGGTTGTGAACCTTCTTCGACGGGCAGGTTTCATCACGATGATTTCCTTCACCGAAAAGCTCATGGTTCAAAATTTCGCACGTAAATTTCGAAAAACCCAGGTGCGGGCCCGGATTCGAACCCACGGCTTCAGTTTCAGAGGCGGTAGGTCAAGCCATTAGGCTACGACGGCTTAAAATAGGTGTGACTTAAAAATATCACGGGTGAAGTAAAATAACTGCCTCTATTGTCGCCAGCTATCGTTTAAATTAATTTCATGAAAAATTTTTGTTTTTATGACCTCAAATTCGCTGTCGAAATTGCCTTACGTCATCCAGTGACTTCAACAGTGACTATCTCATCTCATCATATCGCAATGTGCGAAATACTCATTTTTCCCACTACGGTCGATATAATCTACACCCCATATAATACACGCTTTGACAAATCTTCATGATTCACTGGGTCGAGTTCATTACCCTGTACGGATTGCTCCATAACTGTGTATGTATATGTTTAATGTTGTGCAATATTTAAGTTTGTTAATATCTCATGACTTTTTTTTTCATGACATGAGTTTTGCTTATTTTGTTTTTTTTTTGCTTCATAGTTATTTGTGTCAATGTAATTTGTTTAGTGCTTATTTAAGCAATTTCAATTATTTGCGCAGAAAATATTTTTTAGTTTGGTGTGTTTTATTCATGACGGGCTATTGCAGAATAACAACCAGGGGGGTGATTCACGTAATCAAACCGTTACGATATCGTAGCCATTTAGTCGTTGACCTGCTTTTTCGTATTCACGTGTGACAGTGAACGTCAACGAGTCCAATTTTAAAGTCGTTCGATCCAAATGTCGTTAAAGCGTATTCTGGTATATGAATCGAACTTAAATCGTCTCTAAACGACAAGTCATACGTATTCTGCTAAAATTTTGACAGTTCTTTCAACAGACTTTCGATAACTAAATGTCAAATTTCACAATCCAGGATGTCGTTCATTAGTCTTTACGTTTCGATTCTACTCATATCAACGTTCGTTCAAGTGATACGTGAATACCCATTTTGGATAGGAGTTCGATCGAACGACTACGTAACTTCAACGACATTTTGATAGCTTGAACTTACGTGAATCGCATCGCAGGGCTGTGTATTCGCATGGAGAGTCGTAGACCATTTTGATTGCCTTATTTATTTTCTTTTTTTATTATTTTCTATGTGTGAAATAAAACTAATATTTTTTTAATTGTTGCGCAGTGCAACCGGCTGCTGCGCTGGTGTCCGTCGCCGGACTGCAGCAACGCTATCAAGGTGGCGTACGTAGAACCGGCACCGGTCACGTGCCGCTGCCGGCACACCTTCTGCTTTGCATGCGGGGAGAACTGGCACGACCCTGTGCGATGCTCGCTGCTCAAGAAGTGGATCAAGGTATATATTTATTTCATTGCTGTAAAAACTATTCTGTGCTGTGTGTGTATCATGTTGTTGATAAAAACTTAAAGGAGTTATTTATTCTGTCAATACAACGATTTCTATAACTATTGAAAACAGGCCTTAAATTAATTTTGTAGTGCCTTATCCTTTGTTGTTTATGTTCATCAATAAAGAAGTACGAAAAAAAAAGAAAATAATAACTTGTATAAGTATATCAATATAGGGTGTAATCGTTAAGTGAGCCTAGGCAATTATTCCGTAAGTTTAAGGGATATCAAAAATCTCGAAACTAATATCGAAAATAACGTTACTTAACGAGTAAATATATATGTATATATTACATTGCATATTTATGGCATTCGTAAAGAAGGTTTAGTTGACCTACTTTAAGAGATCAGAATGAGTTTACAGATAACTTATCTGGTATAAATAAAGTTTTCAAACTATCTTTTAATTGAATACAAAATAAACATTTATTAAGTGTTTTTGTAATTAATTGTTTTTCTTATGGGGCAGACATATTTAATAACGATCAAAGCCATTAAATAAATAAAGAATGAAAAAAGTGTTTCCTTTTAAGTAAGTACAAAATTTCGTATTCAAAGCAGTTGCTATGAATTATGGTTATTTGTAGTTTTTTTTTTTTAATATTGATGTCGTTTTTCCCATTAGGTAACGTACTTTCAATATCGGTTTAAAGGTTTTTGATATCTCTTATATTTACGGAATAATTGACTGGGCACACTTGACGATTATACTCTATATACAGAAGTCGTAAAACGTATCAAAACCATTTTCGTAATAATTTTTGATATATAATTATTGAATTATTGTATTAGAAGTGCGACGACGATTCAGAAACGTCAAATTGGATAGCAGCGAACACGAAGGAGTGTCCGAAGTGCAATGTGACGATTGAAAAGGACGGCGGGTGCAACCATATGGTTTGCAAGAACCAAAACTGCAAGGCGGACTTCTGCTGGGTCTGCCTCGGGCCCTGGGAGCCGCACGGCAGCAGCTGGTATAATTGCAACAGGTCAGCACAATAACATATAAACAAGTCTATATAACAAATCAACCCCCAACTGTTGGCTCAAATTCCATTTTTTATCCCACCTATGTCGAGATACCCCCTGCGTCGGCGGCGACATCCCTTGTTCGCTATACATCTCGCCCGCACACAGGCGCTAAAGCAGACACCACTCTACGAGGCACTAGCTGTGATCGATTCTCTTAATAAGAAAATGATATCGACGTTTTCAGTTCTTCTGAACATAAATTTCTGACATCTGCTGGTCATTACTTGGAGGCGATCACCGCTCGAAGCTCTGTGGTCGAAATACCGCAGATTGGTTTCGGGCGGTGATCGACTCGGCTACTTTTGAATCGACTCGACTACTTTTTATTTGACTATGACTTACATGTTTAGTTATATGCTGTTAGTGTAAGTTGTAATAAATAAATAAATAAATAAATAAAAATAAACGCTACTATGGTATAAGGGTTAAGGTAATTAATTAAAAGTTAAAACACTTTAGCTGTCATTTACTAGCTAAGCAACTGTAGCTGTAATGTCGGTTACCCAGTGAAATATAATATTTAATAGTGAATTTCATACGACGCATTACTTTACCTTGTTAGCAGCAGTACTGCTTCTGAAAGAGGAAGTACTTCCTGGGAAGTACTACCGCCTTACCTATTTCTGCTGCCAAGCAGTAATGTTAGCATTACTGCGTTCCGGTTATAAAGGGTAAGGGTGCTGATGAAATTACATACACATAGGACTTGTCAAATTATGTCTCAAGGTGACGGACGCTGCGGGAGTGCCCCTCAGATCTTTGCGATTTAAAGCTTTGAGTGGCACTGCAACTGTTATCGACAGGCGCGTATAGTCTGTCTTTTTTGAAGACGGTGTAAAATGACATTAGTAGGGTTGCCAGTTTTTGTAAAATTGTAGGTAGTCATGTGGTTGCTGTCGATAGTTTTATCAATAGATTATGAAAGTAGGTAAAATTTTGCCAAACATGTCTGAATTGTGAATGTTACGACGTTCTAATGATTACTAATTGCGTTCTTGTATTCTTTATTCTTATTTTTGCGGTTGGTCTACTAGCATCGAGATCAATTTTTATTCAAATACGTCTTAATAATCGCGAAAATCAAATAAATCAACTTCGATTTCTCTTACTATTATTATAAGCCTGACATTCAGAGTATTACGAATGAAGCACTCGTGCTGCAGATACGACGAAGACGAGGCGAAAGCGGCGCGCGACGCGCAGGAGCGGTCTCGGGCGGCGCTGCAGCGGTACCTGTTCTATTGCAACCGCTACATGAACCACATGCAGTCGCTGCGCTTCGAGTCCAAGCTCTATGCTTCCGTCAAGGAGAAGATGGAGGAGATGCAGCAGCACAATATGAGCTGGATTGAGGTACCACGTTGTTTCACCATAAAGTTACCATCCGTTCGGATTTGTGCGACGTTTTGATCTTCTGTCAAACAATTTTCTGAATAAGAAGTATACATATCCACCTTGCAATTCTGTAAAAATTTTATTTAAACAGATTTTCGGTTTTATTTTGTTACTGACAAGTACGGATTCTCTTGCAAATGTCAGGCCTTTTGTCTGGACGATTCAAATTTCGGAATGGTAACCCTAACCATAGGTATATACTTCAAATAGGTAAGGAACAAATATAGGAAACTATACATAAAGCATACCATGTATATAATTTAATATATGCAAATTGAACACCAGTCGTCCTTTTTAACCCCTGAGGCAAAAAGAGGGGAGTTACAAGCTTGAAGCTTTTGTGTCGGTCTGTGGTATCATATACAGATTTTGAAGCGGTTTGATTTATTTCTAGGTTACTGTAATCGGGAAGTTTCTTAGCTATATTTCATGAACATCTGTTCAGCTGGTTAAAGATCATCAGCTTTCCTATTAGTGTAAAGATCTTTATCATAAAATGAATATTTATTTTATTTCCACTTGTTTGATCGACTTGAAATTTGGTATGCAATGGTAATCCGATGACATTATAATAAAAGGGTTACCTTGTTCAGCCCCGTAGCGAGCCGCCGCGATAAAGCTATAATTTCCACATTTGGCTGTCATGAATTCGACTGATAAACCGATATTTTAAAATTTTATCACAATAGCTAACATGGCGAGCACCGTGACTTTATGTCGTATCGCGAGCGCCGCGACTAACAGCTGCAAAAGAATATCGCACTGTCAAACAGAGAAACCTAACATCATAGCTAATTTTAAAACATTTTGACGGTTCTCCAGAGTCATTTTATTAAATATTGTGCGCGACAGACGAGACAACATTAAATAATAAAAACAAACAAATTGATATGCATAAATTATTGGAAAAAGGTGAGGAGAACATTTTCAAAACAGTTCAATATATAAGAGTAATTAGAATTACGTGAATAATAACGAATATAACGTAAAATATCTAAATACTGAAACTACAAAAACCATTTTTTGTTTCATCGTTTTTGCGACGACGATTAAACGACAAAGATATAAGCTATATACGCGATTTCATATCGCTATCCTTGTTCTTCAAAATATATAACAATAGTTCATTACCAAATAAACGAAAGAACGAATTACTAGTGCGGATCTTACCGATTCAGTATTCGCAATAAAAATAAAAATTTAATAATAACAACCGTAACTTTATCAACTGAAATAAATATGTCACGGGGAGGTTTATCAAGGGTTTATCACTTATGCTGTAACCAGGATACTCTGAAGACTGCTCAACTCCTCCACTACTTATATTAGAACCAGTGTTGGGCGTTAATCAATTAAATTTCAATCAATAATTCAATCAGATTAGAAAATCAATTCAATTGAAATCAATTGCAATTAAATCAATTGCGACGCGTCGCAATTGATTTAATTGCGATTGATTTTAATTGCAATTGATTTTAATTGCAATTGATTTCAATTGAATTGATTTTAATTGCAATTAAATTTGCAATTAAAATCAATTCCGGCCGGTTGGGGGCTCCGGTTGGGAACCCCGCTTGTGGGCCCCGGTCGGGGGGCCGGTTGGGGGGCCGGTTGGGGGCCCGGTTGGAAGCCCCGGTTGGGGGCCCCGGTTGGGGACCCGGTTGGAGGGCCCCCAACCGGGCCCCCGACCGGCCCCCTAACCTGCCCCCAGCAGGCCCCCAACAGGCCCCCACAACCAACGCCCTAACTCACCCCCATATGCCCTATAAATTTATCATAATTGTCAGTTTTAATTGTTAATTGTTAATCAAAAACATTGAAAAGATTGAAAATTGATTAATTGTTAATTGTAGATATTTGCGATTAACGATTGATCAATTGTTAGTTGCGAGTTCTCGCAACTAACAATTGATCAATCGTTAATTGCTGTTTCGCAATTGACAATTAATCAATTGTCAATCTTTAATTGCCAGAACAATTAAATTTTGCCCAACACTGATTAGAACTATTGCGTTTGGGTTAATTCAATTGGTCTCGACGGGTCTTTGTCTTTTTGAAGTACACTGTTTTGTATCGGGGGTTTAAATGGAAATTTATGACGTGTTAGCACGTAAAGTTTTTTGCGATTTCTGATATTTGTAGTACTTTTACCTTAGGTGGTTCCATAAAGACTTGATCCTCATCAGAAATATGATCGAATGGCATGTGAAAAATTTCGTGAAAATTTCCTTTTATCTTGCTGACTGTATTTTTTCACTCTATGAATGCTAATCGAAATATCGTCGAAATTCACGGATAGTCTTAATTATTTTTCTGCAGTTATGACGGTTAAGGTAGCTGACCGTCAAAATTTCCATTTTGTATAGTCGTGCCACTAATTCGCTTCAGTTGTTCAGTTGTTGTTCATCGTTTACTCTTTATTGCAGGTCCAATTCCTAAAAAAGGCTGTAGATATCCTCTGCCAGTGCCGGCAGACACTGATGTACACGTACGTGTTCGCTTATTACCTGCGCAAGAACAACCAGTCAGTGATATTCGAGGACAATCAGCGCGACCTTGAGTCCGCCACAGAGACGCTTTCTGAATATCTTGAAAGGGACATCACTAGTGAGAATCTTGCTGACATTAAGCAGAAAGTGCAGGACAAATACAGGTTAGTTCGTTGTATACTGTGTGGATTCTACCAGGGGTCGAAACACATCATTGTTATTATAGCGGTTCAGAATACGTTAAAATCAAGATGTAGACAGGGAAAGAGGGTACACAGATATGCCTGTTAAAGTTGTCATCTGCCGCTAGCCAGTTAACCCGTGACCATGGAGCGTGGAACCGTTCCGAAATATTGGGGAAAATAAAAAGAAATCATGCCTTGGCAAGAAACCGGTAATTAGTGATAATCATTTGTAGTCTTCACAAAACAAGAGGCATGTTTGGCCACTTCTCATCGCAACGTAAATAGGGATGTGGACTAAACGTATCGTTAACCATATTAGACGATTCTCACCAGAAATCGGTTAGAAATTTTATCAGTCTGTAATCGTTTACATTATTTTTCGGGTCATTGGTTTTCAGTTCTAGATAGAACAATTAACATTTATTTAAGCAATATAGAGTTTAATTGAAATAATGAGGAAGTATTTTAAATGATCACAATGACAACCTGTAGCTGCTGTTGTAGTGTACTTACACATTAACAGAGTTCACAAGGATAACTTGTTGTTAAATAGTAAACTTCTACAGAAAAACAAAAAATATGTACTTCATAGTTTAATTTTTTATACACTTTCATCAGAAGATGAGCCAAAATCATCAGTATCAACTATATAAATAATATTTGATTTTCAATCATATTATAAATGTTAGCATCTCCGTCAATATCAAAATTAAGTCAATATTTTTTAGTGGCGATTGGTTACAACACCATTATTTAAAAAGAAGACTGAGGACGTAACTGTTTTTAAGACGTTTCGTACTAACTCATAATTTAATTTTATTTTGAAATTTGCGCGAAAATAATACTTGAAATCTTGTTCTATCATGTCATACCTATAAAGCTTCACTAAAATTAATGTATCTTTTTAAACTCAATAACTTAATAATTGTTTGTTGACTGTTTCTTTGATTGAAATTTCACAACGAACAAGTTATTCGGTTAGACAAATGTATAAAACTTAACATGTTTTTTTATAAAGTTTCTAAATACTTTGATAAGTTAAACTGTCTAGTGAGGAAGCATTTTTGCGAAAGTGAGAAAGCATTGTGTCAGCTGCTAAAACCACATTTGAAGTTGATGAATTCGTTATAAATCCATATCAGAAAGGCAGGGGGTTTACTCAAAACAGAAACAATTGGCATCTGGTTTACGAGACAAAAAATTTAGGAACCTCAGATCTAAAGTATCGTGAAGTAATATAAAATTTTCGGCCTCTAAAAAGGGTATTCTTATTTCAGATATTGCGACAGTCGGCGCAAAGTATTACTGGAGCACGTGCACGAAGGTTACGAAAAGGACTGCTGGGACTACACAGAGTAATCCTCTCTCTATCACTCAGCCGACATCCATATTCACCTCTCACTCACTCTCCATACGAACTTTCATAACTCTCTTTACCTATTAGGTTACCATTACTTTCATACGCTTTGTATGTATGTAGCTGTAATTTCTTAGGTAAAGACACTGTCTATTACGGTTGCTATAAGAAAAGCTCTGACGTTGGTTAATGATTGTTTAATTTAATTTTGGCAAAGATCTTCATTAGTGAGATCGTCACGAGTGAAAAACAATAGTTTACCACATTTAATGGATTATTACAATGTACTTCATACATTGGTACAGTCAAAATGATCTCGGTGTTCAGTGTTCGTAAATATTCGTGCACTTTTGATAAAAAACAAACTTACGGAAACGAATTTAAGGTGCACTTTAAATTGTACTCAGACGTTTCAGTTTTAATTTTTATCAGCTATCGTTGAAGTAATTTTGGTTCTTTGTTGTCAGCTATCGTTGAAGTAATTTTGGTTCTTTGTTGATTAAGATCATTTTGAAGCTGACTATATGTATGAATCTCTAAAGGTTGGTCATTTTTGTATCTGTATATTGGAGCTCTTATAGTAATCATATTACAATCTAAACAAGGTTACGTTTGAATTGTACGTTGATTCAAATTTCGTGCCGCGCGTAATATCCATATCGGTGTGTTCGGATACACGCATCGAACGTTTGAAACTAAATTACTTAGCAATTATTGTGAGAGAAACTTGCGTTGTAAAACGTGAAAGTGAAAATAACTTTCATAAAAATCAAAGAATTGCCAATAACAAAAATAATTGCAATAGAACAAAATCACGGGGCGTGTATCTGAACGATACCAAATCAAGTAAATAAATAAATTAGGAGTTTCTACCACAATGAATAGGAACAAAAGTCCATGACAATACAAACTGTATTGAAGAATAATAAATAATACTTTTAACAATAATTAATTCAGTGAACATTCGTGGCGGACATTTTCAGCTTCGCTCGCTTTTAACCTCATGTGATCGAATGATATGCAATTGCCTTGAAAGTAATTTGTAATTTAAAATGTAGCGCCCACGGATTCAATATCTGTGTGCAAAGTAAAAATGCAGGTTAAGATCTCAATTACCCATGATTAATTAATTTCTCGTCAATACTCTACGAAACTAAAGAAAAAGAAAAAAATATTTTTATAAACTCCAGCGACAGCAACTTTATTTCAAACATTTTAAGTTATTTATAGACAGTTCATGTTGTTTAAATTTCATTATGTTTCTAGATTATAGTTCCATAGCATAGTCCAATACAATAAATATGGAATTTTCACTTTGATGTGGTTTGATGACGTCACGTCTCTGTACACTGAGTCATACTAACTTGAGCAATAAGTTTCATAAGTCAGATCTCCTGTAATAGATATAACCCATATTATTATTTTTTGACTGTAACAATTAGACTTTATAATTTTAATCATTGATTTTGATACTTTATAGCCGGATTACCACCACAGCAACAATAGACGCGCAGCGTATTTGCAGAACTATGTCAAATGACACGCAGCATAGGCTTTGCCCAGACTAGCTCTTCAAGCATTGCCCGGCATAACACAACGCGAAAACAGCACGGTGGCATTAATATTCCCGACTCAGTGATGTAAAAACCACAGTTTCCATTAGTCTGTCTGACTTTTGACAGTGTTCGCGTTTAAGCTACTATTCTTACTAATAATATATCACATTTTGACAGATAATTACTAAAAACTGTAGAATTAGTAGGAAACGCAGTCATACTGAAGCTCAATTTACATTTCTGCGGAATGGAAGCGAACCTTTGTAATATGAGCCAAAAAGCAGGTCGCGCGTCTTCCGGAGAATTTCACGCAGTCTCGGGAATTGTACGTTACATAATGACATAAAATCAATTATGCTATATACAATATCGGTACCAATATTAATTTCCTTTCAAAATTTTAAACTAGGAATTTATGAGTACCAGAGCAAGGGATTTCACTCCGGGGTGCTACCCGGAGCATCCAGACCAGAACCAATTTAGAAAAGTTCATTTCCCCAATTTGTTCTACCGGGAATCGAACCCGGAATCTGCGCATACAGAGCCGCGTAAACACAGTGCAAACTGTTGAAAAATTTGTGAACTTCACAAACCGCATTGAGTCCACGGACTATGGCTACTCTAATTACTGACTAATTACTGAGACTTATAATCGACTATAATGAACTTGAACTTTGTGGGACGTATATGGATTGATGATCATGATATGACATGGTATGGCATAATAATGCCACCGGGCCGTCGTTCGCGTCCTGCTGTTAGTGTGCATGAACTGTTATTATTAACCAAAAATTTTATGAAAAATTTTAAGCGACATAACGAGCAATAAGTTGCGCGACAATTGCCTATTGGATACCCGGCTTAAAATTTTAATGTAGAATTGTGTAAATTGCTTAGTGTAGTAATTTTTGCTTGTTTGAGTATTTGTATTCCAGAATATGACCTCATTTCATCGTTGTGAATTTAAATGGGTGATTTTTTTGTGTTTAAAAATGTGTATAACGGACAATATGGTCGCCATTTATATGAACTGGTTGGTTTAAAACATGTAAAGAAACTTTTTGTGGTAAAAAAGTAATATAAACCCAGATACAACATTCAGGTAGTAATAATTTTTCAAATTTTGAACAGTGACCGTTATCAATTTCTTCTACCTGTTATACATGTTCTTTTATTCGTTTAAAATGAAATCGCCCTAGTGGCTGATGTGTTAATTAGGCAACGACGTCGCTTAACTTCCGTTAAATTCTAATAAATAAAATCTTTGAATCAAAATAGTTGCACAATATGAATAAAACTATCGGTTAAGAAGAAACATGGATATATTTTTACCAAAAACATATTTTTGTTATTAGAGTACTGTTTATCACTTTAAAAGTTAAGCTGTTAGTTCAAGATATAGTGTGTTTTTATTCTGTGATCGACTTATTTTGAAGCCTGCAAGGCTTTTCACGGTGTTAATTAGGAATTTGCAGTCCACACCAACTGCGTCTCGAAATTATTTTAAATAAAACAAATGTAAAATACCTCTTACAATTTCTATATAAATAACTGACAGGTACTTTAAAACTATATTAGTAAAAGAATTCGCGCGATCTGGTTCCATTTTGAAGCAAAAACTAGTACTAAGGTATTTGCAATAATAAATTAATCTACGAAAGAATGGGACATTAAATATACATGTAACAAAATAATAAAAACTATTTTCGATCGTCTTGTTAAATCGCAAATGGCTTTTTGTATAATAGTTCTCGCGCTACATATCTTTGCCACATTAACAAACGGATAATTAATTCTATAGAGGTTTCGTTTGGATTAATAAGTACTATAGAGTCGGTCGCACTGCCAGTAATTGTCGTAATTTAAAGCTTGCTGGGTTCACATAGTGAACGGGAATAGAGTTAGAAGGCTCTCCATAAAAGGTCGCTACAAAGTTTGGTTTAGTAAGGTACAGGTCAAGCTTAGACGACGAGTTTTGTCTTTCGAATTGCCAATTCAAAAAGCGTTAGTCTCGGTGAACAAAAATTGCCTTCTACGTTGAGCCATAATTGTACTAAGAAATGTTTTTCACCTCGGGGCTTGAGTAACAGCAACTATGTGTATTTTTGGGCACGGGACAGAATGATTGTACTTATGAAAGTAAAATACCCTTAGCAAAACCAGTTTTTTTCTAAATTTGTATATAAATTGTGCGCGGTCAATTTTGACACAAATTTAGTTTTTCCAAACACAAAAGTGTTTTTAGTTAAGTTGAATAGTTTCATGAGTACAATTACGTCTTGGAATCTGATTCTCGCCTCCAAAGATTTACTCTGTATGAAAAGAAAAGCGTAACACGTGAGTAGCATTATGGGATATAGTTTGCGACATAGCTTAAGCGCTAGGCTGGACCACGTTTCAAATGTAACGTTCCTCGCTTTAAGTCTAAGCTGTGTTGGCGGAGGAGAGTAACGTAGACACCAATAGGATTTCATTATTTTTTATCTCGTTACAAAATCTTATTGGTCCTTTACGTCTCTGACTTTTCTTCTCCGCTTTGTAGATACGTCTTTGCTTTTTCAGTTGGTTTGTATGAGCTTTACTAAACCAAATAAATAAAATGTAATTTTGAAGACTCGTTGTCGGAGAGCCTTATTTTGAAACGCATACACTGTAAATATAGATGGTGTAAAATATTGGTATATACAATAACTATGTATTGAGGAGCATCTTCTAAGTGTCTGTGTTCAAGACACACTTGTCTAAGAATTAAGAAGAAAATAAAAATAGTAACATCGAAATGATGATTGTTTATTTTTGTATCCATTGTCCTATTATTCTAACTTGAATTATCACTACCCCATCCCTCTTAGTCCTCACCCCACTATTTGCAATTGCGGCATGCATGTGAGTATTTCCGTTCATTTAAATAAACTGCCTCCGTGGCCGAACGGTTACCATGCTGGACTGCCACGCAGAGGTCCCAGGTTCGATTCGCGGGCCGGGAAAAATATTTATATAGCCTACATTTATTTGTCGCATGAATTGGGTGTAATTTGTGGTTGTCTACGTATGCGTGTGTCCATGGCACCCGCGGTAAAGGCTTTCCCTAGAGCGGGACTATGAGTGTGTGCGTATGTACGTTACGTTATTTCATGACCCGTTGTTCTATTTATATAGGCTCATTTGTAAAATACAAACAACGTCGCAGGCATTACTAACATCATAGACAAAAACTATTGTTCCATGACTTGATAATTCATCCGATTTTACTTTCCTACAAAAAATATTTAAATATACCAGTCTAAACGGCGATAACTTTGTGCGGTAGCAAGCGAAAGCCGGCGGAAGGTTGTTAGGCGATTATTACACTGCACCGCTCCGCTACGGAGCTCCGTTTTTTAACGTTGTACTGAAGTAACTCGGTTTGTATGGAAAACACGCGCCGTCAGACACACTGACAACGCTTCTCCGCGCGGGGTTTTAACGTGACCCCGCGCGGAGGGGTGCGGCGAACCGCAGGGTATGGCACACTGCTTTCCGCACTACCGCGCAGATTTTTAAGCTTAAGGACATGTTCAGTTTTCTACAATAGATCTCGACGTCGATAAATTTATATTTGCTATTGAAGATCGACCAAATTTATCTTCATATTTTCTTAAATCTTTGTAAGGGGTTGAAATTATCCATTTATCGATCTGATTCGTAAAAAGGAATGAATCCAATTTCTTCGGTGTCTTTTTTTTTAGTAAAAAAAACCAAGTGGACAGTAGTTTAACTGCAGCGGCCTTTATGAGTTCTGTATTATGCCGCTAGACCGCTGCCCCGCAGTTGACGCAGATCTGCGTCTGCGCCACCGCGCACGTGATTCCGCGTCCTGCGCTCCGTCGCGGGGCGTGGTGCAGTGTGTTAATCGCCAACAACTTGCTCCTAAATACAGACTTAAAAAGGACAAAAACTGAAGTTTATTTTTGGTAAATTTATTATTTAAAAAAGCCATGAAACAAAATTTGTTGTTTTAATGTTGGTATACAGGCTTGCGAGGTTGTATTTTACAAATAAACTTGATATTGAGTTGGCCAATAAGTCCATGCGGTATGAAAGGGTAAATGAAATAACATTTAAAAAATAATTAATTATGTATTGACCTTGTTGATTGTTATGTATTGATCTTTTGCCATCTTGGGGTATGAATATATATTCATTTTATTTAATGGTCTCTTTGTTATCAGCCACTGTAATCGGCCGACATAGCTCCTTTAGATTTTCACTTGTTTCGGTCTTAAAAAAATCTTTGAATTGACACTCAAATAATTTTTAAGGACTGAAAGAAGTAAAAATCTGAAGGGGCTGTCGGCGAATTACAGTGATTATGAGGTAACACATCCCTACCTGACTGCAATAGTTTTTGATGGCTTTGTAAACATGAAGAACCGTGGTACCCTAATGGTTCGACTTACCGTATGTTTAGCATAGACCGTGGGTTCGAATTCTGACTCTTCACCTCGTGACTTTTTGTAAGTGTGAAGGAAGCTAGAGGTTAGCAGTTTCGTGTATGAGCGAGAAGTATGAATGTGATCATGTGGCAGTTACTGTGAGCCGGTCCGTTCTGATAGCGTGTCGTTTTAGAACTTTCATACAAATAAATAACTGTCGTAAATTACGGTCTTTACGTAACTTATTGTAGGTAGACACTGTAGCAGGCTGGTTAGATTATATTGTTATTTTGTATTTGGAACTATATAAAAATAAGACGGTTGTTGCCAAATGAACATCGAGAGTTCTGGACAAATCTTAAAACTAGACGCTCATAGTAAATCTTTAGTTATGAATATATTCCACGTTTATTATTAAATAGTATATCTCACTATGCTATAACCACGGCTACGCTCCCACAAGTATATAGTGAGAGACGTTTCCTAAAAGCTTTTCGGTAAAGTAAATCATCGTGATGAAACCGGCATGTCGAAGGTTCGCAACGCTTGTAAAACTTGTGAAGTCCCTAACCCGAATTGGGCTAGGGTGGCGGACTATGGCCTAGGTTCTCGCCTGAGAAGAGGCTCGTGCCCAGCAGTAGAACGCATAAAAACGCGCTGAATTTTTTTTTAAATGACCACAAGCATAGCAAAAACAGTACTAAATTTTTGGCCAACCCATTATTTTTCTTATATATTTCACACAATACATATTATCCTCGTTTGAGGGTCGTATTCCAGAACTCTACTCAATCTCAAGTCAGGATTTGACTATGGTTTAAAACACTCGAAATCATACTCAAGTCCCTGCCATTACGGTCGTATTTCCATTGCTTGAAATCATACTCAGATCCTGACTTGAGCATTGAGTAGAGTTCTGGAATACGACCCTGAGTGTCATAAGAAAAATAAAAGAACATTCTAGCATAAAAATAACTTAATGTACATAATGATCACAAAATGAATCTAGCTGTACCTGAGTTAGCCCTTAAAAAGATGGATATTATGTCATGATATATCTCCATATTGTGAGTCTCACTCATATTGGTTGATTAAGGAGCAAAAGGATACTTATAGGGATAAAAACATAGCATAATAAGAAAAGTATGATAACTCCATTCAACCTTAGCAGCGGCAGCGCGGCTTGCCACAATCCATTCTATATAGCACTGCTTTTAGAATAGTGTTGTAACTCAAAATACGTGAAATTCAAGATTATACCATTTCTGAATGTAAACTTTGATTGTCTGTTTTTGGAATATTGTAAGAAACCATTAAAAGATATCCACTTAACTCAAAATGAGACACACTTCATGGGAGCTAGTTCTGGCCAAAATAGTCCTTATTCAAAAGTATAAAAATTAATTTTTCCCTTTTATTTTTAAATATATTTGACAAATTGGAAATTGCTTAGATGTCAGTAATAAACTTTAATCTATACATAAATTTAACGATTTTTCGCAGGAAGTGAGTAATTCGTTTTTCATCGATTCTGTAAAAATACACTTTTTGAGTTAATACACTATTGCATTAACAGTACGATGTGACTATTTCTCAAAATAATTGAAATACTACAAAAAAATTTAACATTAAGCGTATTATACATTGGCAAAATATAATATTGACATATCTGCCTACTGCCCAACTCATTCTTTTTTGCATTGTCGAAGTCGGGTAATAACTGTGTTCACTCAGTCTTATCTCGTTATGTAACGAAATGCATAAAAATGTTACGAAATTATAGTACATACATGATCATAACAGAGTTTTTAAATACCAATGGTTTGTGATAACCTGATATTAGAAATGTAATACGCTTATTAAAACTTTTAATTTGCATGTATTATGAAGGGATAAATAAATCCAGACTCACCTTATCATGAAAAAGTTCTTTACTATTAACGTCCTGAAAATATTGACTATTATTGACTATCACGTTTGTACGGATTTTCATGAAAAATATAGCCGAGGACGCCAAACCAACAGCCAATAAGGATAATTCTAGTGGCGCCCATTCAAAAATCTAAGGGATGAGTTTGAAAATTAAGTGAAAGTGGAAATTAAGCGTAAGCGTAACGAAAGAAAAGTAAATGTGTATGGCTCATTTTATTTTTGGCAAATTACTTAAATTTTTGTTATGAAACCACATGTCAAATCACTTTAAGTCAAGGTCTGTAATACAAAAACATGCGCCTTATGATTGTGATATTTTGTATTTTATGAAGTGACAAACACTTGAGGTAAGGGGCAGCAATTTTATTTTTGTATGAAGAGTAAAACATTGTTATGAAAAAGATAATAAGATTACAGTTTTCGTTCTTCGTAGTATTAAAAACTAACGTGTTTTTCTTTAAAATGTTCCTATTTCTTTTTGTATGACTGAATAACAACATAGTATTTTTGTTTAATATTTCGGAGCACATCCCTTTTTTTTGTAAATGTACATATATTTTGAGAAATAGTTATATATAAAGCTACAACTCACTGATAGAAATAGAACGCATACTTCCCGATGTGGTGGAAAAAAGATATTTATATCGTTGTACGCGGATAGATTCCAAAGCAAATAATCAAATAAGAGAGGACCTGAATGTGGAAAATAGAAAAGAGTGATCAACTGCCTGCAAAAACTATAATATATGGAGGGACTGTTTGTGCACTTTTACAAGGTACACGAAAGGTAAAAGGAAAGCTGGTCGTAGGAAAAAATCGTGGCCGAGGAACATACGAGAGTGGACTGGGATAACGAGTGCCGCCCCACTGTTCAACCTCGTCAGGAATAAAGATAAATATGCTGAGCTGACTGCCAACCTTCATTAGTTGGACAGGCACCTTAAGAAGAAGAATAAGGTACACCTTAGGCAATTTCTGTAGGAAGTAAAAAATGTTCGAAATTCAAATGAATAAGATGGCCGTCATACAAATTTCAAAGCCTTCTATCACGTAAATTATTAGAGATAGGTACGAGGTGCCCGAAGGGATGTCATAGAGGGTAATAGTGGTCAAGTGCCTGTGTCATTAAAAATTCAAAATGGCCGCCGATCAAAAACTTGCTTCGATTCGGCTGAAAATGGGCATGCGGCGGTCTTTAGGAGTCCTTATCAAAATATGGGGTCAAAAATTTCTTTTCGCCATTTTTTTATGTGGCTGCCATTTACGCGTTTTTTTCGTTAAAAATGTCTACCGAAAGAGATTTGCTCTGATTCGGTTGAAAATTGGCATTATAGGAGCGCCGGATTTTTATCTGGTATTTGTGATCAAAATTAGTTTTTCGCCATGTTCTAATATGGCTGCCATACGAGAGTTCGTTGGCGGCAGAAAACAATTGCTCTGACCCCTTCGAAAATTGGTATCTGGGTGTATAAATGGGTCTCTAGGAATGCTTGATAATAATAATAATAATAATTTGTAATCAATATTAGTTTTTCGCCATTTTTCAATATGGTCGCCGTAAAAGCGTAAAAAATTTGCTCTAATTCAACTGAAAATCGGCATGTGGGGGTTTCTATAGATGTTCGATAATAATTTGCGGTCAAAATTTATTTTTCGCCTTTTTTCCAATATGACTGCCATACAAACTTTTTTAGCGGCAGATAAAAATTTGCTCTAATTCCACTGAGAATGGCATGGCTTCAATCATAATTTGAGGTGATAATTTTATTTCCGCCATTTTTCAACATAGCTGTCATACAAGCGTTCTTTTTTTATGTAAATTGCTGTTGAAAAAACTTGCTTTGCTCGGGTTGAAAATTGACACGATCAGGTTTCTAGGATTGTCTGATAATAAGTAGTGGTTAAAATATATATTTGCAATATTTAAACGACCGTCATTAAAGAGCTATTAAAATTTTTTAAAACAAAGTGTTTAGGTGTCGAGGCCGTAGAACAAGGTCAAGGAGGGCGAAGCCCGAAGCGTTCGCATGACATCGTACGGAGGTAATATACGGTTGCTTCATTACGAGTACAAGATGTCACAATTGTAAAAACATATATCTGAAACCGAACACGCGCCGTAGGCCGAGCCCGACCCCACCATAGGTGGGATACAGGGCTTGTAAATTATTGAATTTAAGTGGTCGCGTGGTGTTTAAAAAATGACATCAAATAGTAAATGTGTTTATTGTTGTGTTTGTGGTAGTTTGAACAAGAATGTCTCAAATTTACATTGTTTAGCATTTGATTACATTCATAGATTTCTCAATGATGGCGCTACGGCAAAAAGTCTTTAAAAACCAAAAAAACTGAGAGGTGCAACAAACACATGGAAAAATTCGTGAGGTCCGTTAGTTCGTTCCGTATGGCTTAGTTGGCATAGCGTCTGGCACGGTTGTGACGTTGATTCCGATCCAACCGGATCGAAGTGAATGTTTTCCAAGTGTTCGATTTTTGTTTAATGATAAGATAAAACCATAATAATATAATATTCCACTTAGCTGGTGAAAATAAGGCTCAACTTACATTGGCGCAGAGTCTCTATTTTCCAGGCGTTGTAGTTGAAAAACAGAACGCCACGCCAAAAGTCGTAATTATTGTAAGGTGAAATGACAACAGCAGAGTTCAGTAAAAAAGTTTATAGTGACTAGTTTTTGTAAATTATATTTTTAAATTGTTAAATAAGTGTTAAATAATCCGAAATAATTTTTGAGGATATAAAGCTCAATGTTTCATTTTTATTTCAAGAGTAATTAATTAATTATTAAATAAATTTAAATGAAAATGTCATACCTTCAAAACTGAAGCGTGAAACACAAAGAAAGCGGGCGCAGGTCGGGCGCGTATCGGGTCGGGTCTAATTCCGTGTATTATATGAACGACAAGATTCACGAATTTCGCGATCTCGCCCATATAAATCGGCGCGTTTGACATCACGGGTCTTGGGTCACCATCAGGGTTACGGGTGCAGTGACAGTGTCCCTCAGATCTTTGTGATTTAAAGCTCTGAGTGGCACTGCAACTGTTATAGATAGGCGTGTTGCTTACCACCAGGCGCACGACTTGTTCATCCCGTTACTTGATATTATTAAAAAAAAACTTTTTATTAATATCATTTAAGTAGGGTGACTAATTTCTAAATTCCGTTTTTACAAAGAATACTAACACAATGGTTGTCGCAGGGATGCGCTGGCGCCTTCTCCCACAAGACCTAGTAAAGCCTAGTGAAGAATCCCTGGTGAGTAGAGCGTTATTTATCTTTGTACAATCGATGAAATAAATTGTTTACCTAAAGATTTTTAAGGGCGAAAAAATAATCCTGATAGTTTAACATGAACCTTAGCGGAAAACAGACTAACCAGAGTAAGGAGGCGACATCGTCATGTTTCATCATCGATGTCTAAATTTACAACCTAAATTGATTAATAAACTTACTATGAAATATTTTATATTCAATTAGGTACACATGTAAAGAGTATATAATTATTTCGGAGTAAATTACAATTTCGGTTTTCTGACTCTAGATTGCCGTGTGAACAGTCTGTAATGAGTGGTGGACGCCATTGTAGAAGATAGGTTAGAGATATAAATCAGGGTATAATTATGGTAAATTTATATAAATACAAATAGGTTTTAGATACCCGGATTGACATCTTGCCGAAACATTTTTATTTTACATTCCAGGGCCATACGCAATTTATTCGGAACTGATAAATCCAAAAAATCTTAACAAGTGAATAAAGACTAATTGAACTAGAGTCGATCCATGTTAGTTAAGTCAATATCTTAATTACAAACTTTGTGGAACTCAGTAATTTATAAAAATGTATAGGACAAGTTTTGTATTATAAAATTATTAATAAAAACCTAAATAAAAATAGACAATGCTGTTTTTATTGCAGCTGGCTTCACGGTTCTGTCCCAGGAAATTTTTTGTACATAATATGAGATTAGAAAGATATTTGCACTATAGGAAATTATTCGTTCCCAATTTCCTGATTAAAAACTGGGACATAACATGTTTTAAAGTTTCCTCGTCAGTACATGAAGCGACTGCCGTAAGATACTAAAATGAAACTTCAAAGTAAAGCAGTCAAGTTCTATATTTTATCGTTTACTTAATTTATTTTGTACAAACTTCAACAATATATATAATAAATACTCAATTAAACCTCTATCATTCAGCAAACTGAACTCACTTTTTTGTCATAAGTATATTTAAATAAATAACACAATGATATCATAACTTATTGTCTAAACTTAATTAAACACAACTTTTTTGTGCAAATATGCCTAATTGTAGGGTAAATGTTTGGTTTGACCAACATAAGAGGGTGTTCAATTTACATAATTACAACACGCTTACGCTTCTGAACCACCCAGAGCGGTTCCCGATAAGCGACATAGTCTCACTTGAACACAATGGCAAGGTGGTTTGTTTTTATTACAACACTGATGATTGTCATTTGACTACTTACTACCGATAGCTAACATTTTGTATTTGGGAACTGTTGACTTATTTCTTTTGGATTAGGTTTCAAAATGATTCCACCTTGAAATTCTTAGACGGGAACTGTTCCTAGTGGTTTTAGGCTTGACGTAGGCAACGTGGTGTCACGTAATACAATTCCAAATGAAATAACTGAACGAATGCAGCGCTGTGCCGCGCGGTCGGTGGGGAAGACCGCCCGTGCGCACGACGCGCTGTTGACTCACCTTATAAAATTATCTACATAATTATTATCTGTAATCATAGGTAATTATTGCAAAATATGTGCAAAACTGTAAGCGCCTCATTTAGTTACGATACACAGACTCTTTAAACGTTTGCAACACTTAGATTGTCTTGCACTTGAGAATTTCACATTTTATGTAAATGAATTGAAAACAACCGACACACAACTATTCGATGACGTGACTGTTTCTTATTGAAAGCGAAACCGTCGTCGAGCAGAGATCGACGTTATTGCTTCAAGCTTATTACGTTACGTATCGCGTACTGCACTGCATACTCGCCGATATCGACTTATAAGACATGATAAATGACATTACTGTCGCGTGCGGTTTGGGATCTACCCGGCGATAAGCTCTCAATATTTACACAGTAGAAAATTGACCACTTCCAAAGATAAATTACAAAAATTTAATGATTTAGTTTGTTGTGCTAGAAAAGACAATATACTGACTCGAAATTCGACTACGACTTTGAGGTACGACTTGCGGATCGCTCCATGTTCAAACACTCGTACACTCCACAGGGTCCACATCTGGGTGTCAATTGTAAAATAAAAATACAATAATATCTACCTTACTCGGTAAGGGACGTTCGATCTCTTAGGTATATCGATTATCTTATTGCTAATTACGGTCATCTGTTCCGGATAGCCAAAAGGTTTGTTAGGTAAAACATCACAATGTAATCTGCAAGAGCAATATTCATCGAAGCAGTACCAGCCCGCTCGCAATTTATTAGACAAAAGGTATATTCGAACGCACCGCACCCAGGGCCGATAGTGTGGCTAAGACCGACTTCTACAATATCCAAACTATAGGACCGAAATTGCAAATGTGTCGTCACTATCTAACATTATAACATTCCGGAGAAGCAATCAGTGACTTGTGCTAGGAGACACAGTATTATAGAGTCGGTGAGTTGGACTATCGGTCCTGCAAACAGTGCGCGACAAAGGGCGGGGTCGCGGGCGCTGGCGGCGGGGAAGACCGGCGGCGCCCGCGGCGGCCACAGCTAATGTAATTCAGGGAAGGAAATTACATTAACTACGTGGAGAGTGCGCGTTACATAAAATGGCTCGATTCCTATGATGCGTACTGAATTAGGACGGAAGTGAACTCTGGTACCGATTTCACAGCTGATTTGTTAAGCTTACATAGATAACTTTGCAAAAATTTCTCTAAACTCTCTTAACTTCGTGAGGTCCGGCGCGAGCCGTCCTCGTATAGAAGATACAACGTAACATTTCGGTACAGTAAGAAGCTTATAAATTGGAACTATTAAAACTATTACGGACAAAATTGATATGAATCGGCGTAGCCATTGCTTTTCTTATTAAGCGTTATTAGATACGATAAAACTATCGCTCGAGGTCGAGCGAGAGAAGTTTAACGTTTGTAAGGTTACAATTTAGTTGGGTGTAACAAAAAACATTGAATCCCAAACGTGTGAGTGCTACATCGGTGCTGGCAGTGCTGACCGACGCGGCTGCCGCTGCTGCGCGCGCTGCACTTTTCATTTCAGCCACGACAACAGCGTACCATAATATAATAGTACACGCATTGCTCGACACCATTTCGGGGAAGGAAAATGATATCTCACAATCAATAAACAACTGCTCAATTTCATAGTACAATATAAGAGTCCATTCTCTGCTTTAGAATACACAGGTAGAGAGTGATATTCGTCGAATACAAAAATAAGCTTTTAGAATTTCCTCAATTTTATCCGATACCTTACATTACATCACTAGTGACGAAAAAAACACGGCACGTTCGCTAAAACGATTTCTCTCAACGGTACCTCCCGCGGGGTTAGGTCTAACGCGAAACGAAAAAGTCCTAACGACACGACAAACACGGTAAACGCGCGCGAACAAAACAACAGTCTCCAAAGCTTCGGCCACGCGAATACAAAACACTCCAACACTCGGAACGTCAGATCAACGTCCAGAAGAAGGCGCGGGCGCTGCGCAGGGGCGCTTGCGCTCGCGAGTCCGCCCGCGCACCGCGGCCCGCCCAACACTATGTACACGAATCTAGCGAAAATAATCAAGTGCGCTTGGGTGGGCTCAAGAGCTCGGGCAGCGGTGCGGGCAGCGGCAGCGGCGCGTCGTCGATGAGCGCGGGCAGCAGCGCGAGCGCCAGCGCGGGTCAGACGGGCGCGGGCGGCGGCAGCGCCTCGGGCGGCCGCGGCGACGCGCCGGCGCCCTGCAGCACCACGCGCGGGCCGCCCGCGCCGCCCGCGTCCAT